AACTGAACTGAACTGAACCGGTTCCAGTTCTTAGACCCACACGGTAAGAAAATAAAGAAGAAAGAAGTTTCTTTTAACTATAATTAAATCATGTTAAATGCTGTTAAATCCTGTTTAAAGATGTTAAGGCTTTCAAAGATATCTTTAAGAAGAAGTACATGGCTTCTTTGAAAATGCTAAGCTATGTTAGTCACATTGCATAGATATTTAAACCCTTTTAATAACCTTGTTAAAGAATATGATCCTAGATTTTTTTCCTCTGTGCACTCCACATCTCGGTGGTGCGTCATCCGGGGCCAGACGGACCATAAATGTGCTTTGCAGCCAGCAGAAATACAATAAAGACAGCGCACAGCAGCTCGCCTGCATTGAGCGGCAACAATAAATTGTACAATAAATCAATATAGAAAAAACGTCTTGCATAAAAAAATTGGCAAACGAGGGGAAAAAGGAAGAATCGAGAAAACCCCTGAATGGATTTTCCACATAATTGTTCTGCAACAAATTACTGGCTTAACCGAATTTCCAGACTCAATTATGCAGGGGCAGAAAAATAAAATGTCTTTATATAGAAAAAATGGGAAATCCTAAAAACTTTAAAGGTTGCCCAACAGATTTTTCCACAATTTCCTCCTACCATTCTCTCGGATCCCTTTTTTCCCTCTTCCAACAAGCCGGCCGGCTTGTCCAGTTTGTTTTGGGCCAAGTTTGCTTTGCTTTTGGCCAACTTGCTTACTTGTTTGTTGGCCCCGCCGCTGAAGGCAAATTGTTTCTTTCTGGCTTTTCGTTGTTTTTTTTCGTATTTTTTCTTTGACTCTTTAAGCAGGTGTTACCCCTGTGTGAGTGTGTGTGTGTGTGTGTGTAAGTTACCTTACAAACTTGTTTGTTTCTATTGTTGTTGGTGTTACTTAATCGTCTGCGGACAGGTTATCGTTTGCTCTTGAACTTGAGGCGAGCAAACAAACAAACTTAATGTGGAACTTGAACGGACCCGACTGAGAATAAATACGACAACCAAAAAAATTGGTCTAAAGGTGACTTCGAACTTTGTGCGTTGACAGAGGGCGATGATGGATGGCAACCCACTGCCTTAGAGTGATTTCAAGTCTAGTTAAATTTATTTTATTAACTAAATAATTTGAAAGGATTATTAAAAAAATTGTTTAAATCTTTTAAAACAATCTGTTTCTATTTCTATAAGCAAAATCTGTTTATAATACTTTTAATTTATATAATAGATTTAACTTTCAAGATTATTAAGAATAATAATAATCAAATGATTAGCCTTTTCAACCTTCCTTACAAATCCTAATCAGTGCTAGATTTTGTCACTTAGTAACATACTAAGAAGATAAGCTTAAAATCATTGTTTACAAATGCAATTTCCAATAGATTACTTATTGAAGTATATAATATTTTTATACCCGTTACTCGTAGAGTAAAAGGGTATACTAAATTCGTTGAAAAGTTTGCGACCCTATAAAGTATATATATTCTTGATCAGGATCAATAGCGAAGTCGATTGAGCCATGTCCGTCTGTCTGTCCGTCCGTCCGTCCGTCCGTCCGTCCGTCCGTCCGTCCGTCCGTCCGTCCGTCCGTCCGTCCGTATGAACGCTGAGATCTCAGGAACTATAGCAGATACAAAGTTGAGATTAAGCATGAAGATTCTTGAGGTCCCGGGAAAGCGCAAGTTTATTACAGCATCCTGACACGCCCACTCTAACGCCCACAAATCGCAAAAAACTAAAATTGCTGAAATCTCAGGAACTATTGCAGTTAGAAAGTTGAAATTCAAAAAGTATAATCTTTAAATGGCAGCGCATCTTATAGTGGTACTACTATCCGGACACACCCACCCATACGCCCACAAGGCTCAAAAGACGGTTTTCGGATTTTCTAGAAAAGCTGATATCTCGGTAACTATAAAAGATAGAAAGTTCGGATTCAGCATGTAGGTTTTTATTATGCTCCCAATGCGAATTGTTTTTTTCGATCAAGCCACGCCCACTCTAACGCCCACAAAATCTGAACAACCAAAAATGCAAAAATCTCAAAAACTATAAGAGCTACATAATTTTGTTTAGGATCACGTATTTAGGATATGCCTTTGCAACTTTTTACGAAGTTGCATCCGGCCACGCCTACTCTGACGCCCACAAAACCGCGGAAAACTGTGGCGTCTATAATATTATTATGAATGCCTTCGTTTGACCTTGTATAACTTATTTTTGTTAATATCTATCGATTTACCAAAGATTTTTCAAATCGGAACATTATTTCGCTATTTATGAAGAAATTAAGGTTATAAGGCCTCACACGGGCAGTGACGTCACTATAAGCATACTCAACATACTTCCTCTGAAAATAGGTGGCGCCTTGTGAATTTCCACTAGCAAAATAATATTTTAAAATTTTGTAAAACAGTAACGGGTATCTTATGGTCGCGGCACTCGACTATAGCGTTTCCTCTTGTTTTATATTATTATTATATAATCAACTTTAGAATCTCGTCTGCTGATCTATGAAAACAGACCTCGCATAAACGATGGCATATAGTTGGGAGTCATGAATATATATCGCAAGTGGCAATCGGTGTGCTTTCATCGCATCTTCTGCTAACCGTTCGTGAACACAAATGAGGCGTGCCACTCCCACTTTCCTTTCCGGTTCATTCCCCCTTCTCCCTTACCGTTCGTTTAACGCGGACAGCAATTATTAAAACAGAGCCATTGGCGACATGATAAACGATTTCCGCAATATTTCCGCCAGAGACCAGGATGGTCGAGCCAGAAAAGGCAGCAGTGGCACAAAAGGGAGGGTTCACTGTAGGGTTGCAAGCACGGCCTTTGGTCCTCCTCCTGCCTTCACAACCTGCCCTGCCCAGCCCCTCCCCGTATGCCCCGCGGGGGCGGAACGCTTACTGCGAAACACTTCAGTTGGCTACACAAATTTGTGCACGGGTCGCAAACTGTCGCTGAGTTGCAGAAATGAATGAACTTTGCAAGGGCTACTTCAATTTTTCAAAAAGATATAAGATTTATAAATAAAAAAGCAGGCAACTCAATCTTGGTTCTTATATATATAAATATATATACATTTAATTATCGCAAACGTACTTGGGAAGTGAAAGTGAATGAAAAGTTATTTCTTTAAATAAAATTTATCTTTTATGCACTAATCTTTAGAGACATTCAGAAACAGCTCAAGAACTTTGATTGAAAAAATATTGGGCATTTCGAATATTAAATCTTAAAAACTTCAGTTTGTGAAATTTAATAATAGTTCTTAAGAAACTGGAATGACATAGCAAAAAATCATTGTCCATGGAAACAAAACCGTCTTTAAATAAAGCTTGAAGCCAGATATATTTATCTGGATTAAGAATATGCAAATTACTTTAATTATGCGATTTGTTAAATGGCAAGTGAACGACCTTGGAAATGCGATACAACCGGAAAAGTGTATTATCATTGAGTTCTTATTAATAACTGGGGTTTATGGTGAAGGCAAACAAAGATAGAGGATTCAATAATGAAAGTTATTTTATTACATTCCTTCTAGGAAATTCTTGAATGAAAAGATTGTGTAACCTTATATGAAACATAAGATCAATAATATACAAAACATAAATCAATAACAAATGAAATCTATCTGAAAATAGCATTTTCCTATCTCAGGGATACTTTTTTACAGAACTTGAAGTGGAAAAGTACTTGAATGGAAAATAAGTGAATAAACTTAATAAATAATTCCCGTCACTGTCTAAGTTTGTCATTTATTTCATACCCTGCTGTCTTGTTGGAATTGTCAGACAGATAGACAGACAGACAGACTCACAGACAATTTGTTTGATTGATTTCGGTGCCTTCTGTGCATTTTGCCCGTTTAAATTGTGACAAAGTTCTGGCGTCGCCTCCTCAAATGAGGAAATGCTTACTTTAATTTTATATACTTTTACGCGTCCCTCGTTATCTCTATCTTAACGAGATATATATATAATATATAGATGCATAAGTAGATATATATATAGCGGGTGAGCGGTGGCCTTTGAGCGGAGACTTTTGGACCCTCGGGTCATGGATCATGTGCATGCATAATGCGCTCCAAGAAGTCAAGAAGTCCATTGTATGTACATAATTTATTTAAATTTATTTGTTTTGTTGCCTTGCAAATTTTCCAGAGCAATAAGTATGCTGTTTGTCATCTCCATCAGATGCCGACAATAAATTCTTTTTGATATTTGTTTGTAAGCAAAAAGTCAAATGAGGGGTCAAATATGTAACATGGTTTTATTTGTTTTAATAGAAAAAGTTTTATTCACATTAATGAAGCAATCAAAGATTTAAAGAGGTCTCTAACGGATTGCTATTAAATAAATATTATAATTGTCATATTTAAACTGAAATGACTCGTTTACTTTTTTATGATTATCCTCGAAGGTTCTGCATCTTTGGCATGGTGCGCAAATATTTTTATTTAATTCTTGTTGCGTGAAAATTCCACGGGAATCCGCAAGAAAAAAACAAGAAGCGACAAAAATGCTTTGCATATATACACTTGTTGTTGTTTCTATTTTCCGTTTGTTTTGCGGCATTTTTGTGAGCGAGAAAACCAAGGAATTTGCATAACAAAGTGAAGGAAGGCTCTCGCGGGGTGCAAAGGGAATGCTGGTGAAGGGCAGCGGGGGGATGCTGACATACAGACACACAAACAACAACAACATAAAAAGCAAACAAAATATTACTAAAAAATAAAAAAAACAGAGGGACAAAGAGAGAGCGTAATAGAATGAAAGGAGAGCAGTTGTTATTTTTGGCACAGGAAGAGGAAGAGGACGAGGGAAAGAGAGAGGGGACATGTTTACTTTGGCCAGGTTAATGCACCGCAGATTAACAACAATTAAGATGCGAGCAAGCGAGAGGCAAGAGGTGCGGAAGGCAAAGAGCACACCAAGAGAGAGAGATGCTTACAGACCGAAAAGAGATAGAGCACACGTACCTTTGTCTGTTAGGGGACGCAAAGTGGGGAACTCCTGTTGCTCCTGCCGATGGATTTTCCCGTATCCAATGCCGCGGCTGCCGTTGCCGCTGGCGCGAGGTCCGCTGTTGTTGCTGCTGCATCTTTCCACGGCGACCAACAACAACAGCAACAACACCCACGAATTCGAATTCGCTGTCGCCGGCATTTTGCCGCTGGCCGCTCTCCTCTGACACTCACACACACTACTCTTCTCTGTATTGCTGTTGTTGTTGTTGTCGCTGTTGTTTCAGCCTTCCGTTTTGTTTTCCTTTTACACAAAAACACAACAACGCAACACACACACAGATGCGCTCACTCACACACACACCAACACACGCGCGAACCGAGGGTGGCAAAAGAAATCACAAGCCAGGTAACTATTTTTTTATTTTTACTCAGATTTCCATTGAAACATGCATTTTATTTGTTTACTTTTTCGAAACGCATCGCGCGCTAAGAATTCGCTGCATAAGTACACCACACTTATTTACATCCACAAGCCGCATGCCGCAAAACTTTGATTTATTTGACCGTTAAAAACAAATAGTAACTCATTGTTTTCGTTTTTTTTATGCCGGCTGTTTACTCGAACATTTTTTTAGTATTTGTACGTAGCAGCGCGGCCAAACCGCTCGTTTCAAAATATGTTTTTTAGACTTTCTTTAAGAATCGGTCCGCATACAAACGAACGGTACGGCAAAAAAACAACTTGTGCGGAGATTTTGGAGCAGTGAGACCAGTCCCGTAAAAGATTTCAAATCTCATTTGCAGTTTTCTCTTTTACCCACATTGGCGCCTTAGTCACACAATTAACAGAAATGTTAAGGAGTGAACAACCCACCACTTATTTTACCCGTTTAACCGATTTAAACCGTTTTAATAAATATAGCATTTTGAATGTTGCTGCATGTCAGTTAGAAAGGCATAAAAATTTTTTGTTATTAAAAAGAAAATCAGAGTATAATATTAAACTTTATATTTTCCACCATTCAAGCTCCAAAAAATCTGCTAAATTTATTTCTGGATCAAGCTAACTAATTGTGCATTATAGGTAACAGGTCTAAAACCTTTTAACATAGCTCTGTTAAGGTGGCAATGCTTTCTATCCTTTTTTAGCCACAAATCAAACAGCCGGCAGTTGTCAAAATATTTTGATTTTTCAAATTGCCTCGAATTTTAGTTTAAATCTAAAAATAGTAGCCAAATTTAAAGACTAAAAAACTCAATAAGCCCAAAATGTTTCGACAACCAAGGGTAAGTTTTTGCAATTCCACAATAACCAGATTGCATAATGCAATTGAATGCATTTTTCTCATATATCTATTTATATTTTGGCAATGGCTAGTTGACTATGGATATTTCGCGATGGATATTCATGCCGTGGAGTCGCTCGGCATCGAATATAGGTAATCCTCCTCCTCCGCCACTGGCCAGCACTTTTGAGGATGTTATTGTGGACTACGAGGATCCGGACTATCTTCCATTGCCAGAGTATCCTGTACGTCCCAATGAGCCGTTAAATATCCGGAAGCAACGGTGGGTATAATATTTGATCTTAGAAAACTACCAATCACTTACATATCCCCCCTTTCAGACTGTTGTACCAGTCCCGCAAGCGTGGAATGCTCGAAAACGATCTTCTCCTGAGCACCTTTGCCGCCAAGTACCTTCAGAATTTCAATGCCGAGCAGACTGCTCTGTACGATCAGTTGATTAACGGGGTCAGTAATGATTGGGACATCTACTACTGGGCTACCGATGTGAAGCCCACGCCGAAAGAGTACGACACGGAGATCATGGGGCTGTTGAAGGAGCACGTAAAGAATGCCGAGCGGGTCTCACGACTTCGCCAGCCGGATCTCAATGCTTAGTTTCCCCTGACCTTATTTCATTTTAAATAACTTAGATGTCTGCACGACTATAGTTATGATCCAGGAGATCATTGTTTTTATTAGAGAAGGATAAGAATATCCCTAATATTAAAAAAGGCAAGTCCTTAAGTTTCACTTTTTAAACTACGCAACCAAAAAACTATATAGTAATCCTGATTTCTAGTCTTAAAACCATGCATATTTATTATTAAAAAAGCTTAAAGCCATAGAACAATTTTAAACTAACACCTTTCGAAAACCTTGTACAGCGTGGGTAGATTGGTAAGTTCGAATATCTGATCCTTGAGACGTGGTGGTGGCAGAAGATACTTCTTAAAGGCTGGAAATAAAACGTGTTCCATGGTCCATCTCGGATGTCCCGCAGCCAAGCCTTCCTGCCAGTCCAACTGCGAATAAAATCGAGCTGTTTCCCTGCAGAAATTCTCGAAACAACGAGCTTCCTGCTCCCAATCCACTTCGGTGGCCAAGCGGAGCAAGTAGACTGGCAAATGAGACACACTAGGTCGGTGCTGAGGTACCAGACTTGGGAGAGACTCGAGCATTCCCTCCTCTGAGATCCGCAGACCAAAATATTCTCGCATGATAGGCGCCTTTTTAAGAAGGATTTCAGCAGCACTGGCCGCTAGTTCAGTTTTATCGCCATCCTCGGGTGTCCAGCCAGCAGCTTCACTGTCCAGCGACAGCATCAGGAGCTCCGTGACAGACAGTGGCGGATTTAGTTTGATCTCTGAACAGTTTTGAAACTCGTAGATCAGTCGCTGATAGAAGAGTTCCTCACTAAAAGAGCGGGTATTGCAGAGAAAAAGACGAGTTTCATGCTGGAACAATGCTCGCCGCTCGTCCACACAGCCCACATAGACCAGGTTCTTGAGTATGCCTCTGAGCTGAACGCTGCATTGCCTCTCCGATCGCTTTCTCATGTCTAGCACGCTGCTTAGTCGTACTTCTCGGCATTTCTTGACAGCTGTGACACGAAAACTTTCCTCTGGCAGAGGTTGAGTCTCCTGAGAGGAACTCGGGGACACACCTGGTTCACTTTTCACCACTGGCACTAAGAACTTATCCAGCTTTTGCTCATTGGAATCGGTGCGAACCAGTTCCTTGGGGTAGATGCGCTGCGTTTTATCCGCCGACTGGGTTTCATCCAGATCTGGAGCTCCTGGTAGGCGCAACTGTTTGTAAAAAGACCTTGTGGAATTGCTTCCCAGAAGACGAGCTTCTACCTGCTCTTTGAGCCGCTCTATAATCTCATCCTGGTAAAGGAAATGCACTTCGTGCTTGGTGGGATGGACATTCACATCTAGATTTTGGGGTGGCAAGGTAAGGCTCATGTAGACAAAGGGATGATGACCACGCGGCAGGTAAGTGGCATATACAGAGTCCACAGCGGTCTTCAGAGCTTGAAAATCTAATTAGTAATCTTAGAAGCTCATAGCTAACAATCACTTACCTGGCGACTCCACCAGGCGCTGGTTGATGAACAGCAGCATCTGGCTCTTTTTCGCCGAGTAGTTGACTTGAGTGATCAGACAGTCGGCCTCGAACTTGAACATCTCATCCCGGTGGCTAAACTCTAGGAGCTCCTTGGCAATGGCTGCCCCGTATATAATACGAATGTTCTCGGACCGGGAACTGGCCGTTGGAGTTCTCAAAGCGGGTTGTGCCTCGCCCTGCTTGCGGAGGGTAAAGCCCACACGAGGATTGTGGATAGCGTACCTAGCCAGAACATCAGACAGTCGTTGAAACTCTTCGGCCGGTGAACGGAGTGCTTGTCTCCTTTGTGGCATATTATAGAACAGATCTTCGATGGAGATGATGGTTCCTTGATTTCCCGCACACGGTTTCGGCTGATCCTGGAGCTTCCCATCCGCATAGTTGGCCTTATAGCCGCATTTCTCTTTTGCTGTCTTGGTCTGGATGCTAAGGTGCGCCACATGACTGATGCTGGCCAGGGCTTCACCTCTGAATCCAAATGTGGCTATCTGCGCCAAGTCCTCAAAGCGGGACAACTTGGAGGTTGTGAAGCGCTCGCAAACGATGGACAGATCCTCACGACGTATTCCAGTACCATTATCTTGGATCTGAAGTAACTTCAGTCCACCGGCTTTGACCTGAACTTGAATGTGACTTGACTGAGCATCCAAACTATTCTCAAGTAGCTCTTTTAAGGCGTTGGCGGGTCGCTGGATAATCTCCCCGGCAGCAATCCGATTAACCACCACCTCATCCAATTTCCGGATAACCCCGGGCTCCAAACACACCGACATGGCGCGAAATCCTCGCAGGTAAACAAAGAATTAATGTGACCGTACGGTTGAGCGGGAATATCTCAACAGTAAGAAATTTGGCGGAAATTTTGAATTATTAAAATGTTTTCAAATCAACAAAACTCCTACAATTGATAACAACTTCTTTATTAAATGGTTAATAAAAATAATACATGTCAATGTTGTTACATTTGTTGCGTTTAAGACTAACATTATATGTGTGGGTTTCGACATTAACTTCAATTTATATGTCTTAATATTCTCTTTTTAATGTTCAGGTAATTCTCTGAGTTTCAGGTAACATTTGATAAATATTCATTGCTTTCGAACTTCTATTGTCTTAACATATATATGTATTGTTTATAACATTTGTTAAAGTTATATGTAAGATTTGAGATTACACGATTCACAACAGTCTAATGTCAATAAATCCAGAAAAAACTTGACAAATTTCTATTCATATGAAATTTGAGTTAAACTTAAAAATTGTTTCCAACTACAACTAGTTTGATTTGCGAATGAACAAAGTAAATTCACAGAGTGGTTCGAAAAAACATTAAACTTGATAATGGAAATGTTCTGCCAAAATACTATGAGAACCACTTGCACTTGAGGCAAATGAAAACTGAGATTCCGAGGATAATGGTGGTGTACTTGAAGTAGTTGCGAACCTTTTTCCGCTTTCGCTCGGCTAGGATTTCATTGAAGTCAATGAATAGTGGATTTTGGGTAGGGCTAAATAAACCAAGCTGAAAATATTACAAGGAAAAAATAGTTTAAAAACAAAATAGTAGTTAAAGCTGTTGAAACTCAAAACATACATATTTTACGGTCCTTGTAATTTGATTAAGAACATCGCCGTATCCCTGAAAATTGGTTTTAAGGATGGCCAAATTCGTCTCCGAAGGCTGTCCCATTTTATTTTCTATCTGGTTCCTTAAGACGAATCGCAAAGCCGCCTGAATGACTACCAAGTGCTGCAGGTGATTAGCTGCAATCATCAAAACCTCATAGAAGCTAAAAGGAATTTTATGAATTATCTGGGATTGTCTTAGGTTATATGTCACACGCACTTGTCCATGTCGTCGTCCTTGACTCGGGCTATTGACGAGTTGCACCAATGATGAAGGTGAAAACTGTAGGAAATTTTTTTATTAATATTACATATATATTATTAATATGTTTCATATTCATATAATGGACTCACTCTAGAATTCCTTTCAATATCTTTTGACGGTAGATGGGATACTCGATGCCCACTTCTTGAAGCTTCTGCTCATCCATGATCAGGAACTCGGCCAGCGAGACCCGTGCAATGGCAAAGTACTGAACCATATTACCCACACTGATGGACTGCAGGATACCATTCAGTTCCTGGAAATACTCAGGACAGTCGCTTTTTAGAAAGATGCGTGGAATGTGATCTCTAAGAGTGTTGTAGCCCAGATAATGGGTGGGCACCAGATAAGTCGTGTCTGGATGGGGTAAAATCTCTAGCAGATCGTAGTATCCGTGGCACTCGGCCACTTGGGTGGGCGTGTAACCTTTCTTGTTAGCTATAGTGGCATTAACTCCCGCCTCCACCAGTAGTTTGACCACTTCAACATTATTTTTTTCGATGGCATGAAAGATTGGCGTGCATCCCTGATTATCCACAGCATCGAAGCTGACGTCCTTGATCAGGAGACGAACGACATCAGTAAAGCCATTCCTACAGGCAAACATAAAGGGTGTCATTCCGAATTTATCGGACACATTGACCGCGGCTGAGTGGCGCAGCAGTAAACGAACTATTTTCTCCACTACATATGGATCCTTGCTTTGGCTATCGCATGCCATCATCAATGGCATCACAGAATCCACCTGTTTGTTTACGTTGGCCTTCTTCACTAGCCATTTAACAATTTCGTAGTGACCCTCATGACAGGCAAGCATCAGTAATGTAGGGCCACCTCTTACAGGCTGATCCACTTGGAAGTCAAGTCGTCGCATCTCCTCCTGCATCGTCTGGAGGTCTCCGTCAAGCACAGCATTGTAGAGTTTCTGCTCTGGATGAACATAGGGTGCTGGTTTCGAACGTTTCACCTGAACATAGGAAAAAATAAACTTAGAAGCATTCTATAAATAAGGGAGCACCCAAGAGGACCCACCTCATCCGAGAAGTAGAAACCATCATAGCTGCTGTCCGAGTCGGAATCCTGTGGAGGTCCGTAGTTGCACCTATTGCTCATCTTTCTGGAATTTGGATAAACGCAAAAAAAAAGAGTCCTAGCACATTGTTGTGGCCAAAAGAAGAAAAATGCGAAAGGAAGAAAATAGCAAATCAAAATTAGGGATGGGAAATCCCTTTCTACGAAAGCTTGCATCATCGATTGGCGTCGATAAATTATTGGCGCGCTTTTTAAAAAAAAAAAATAAAGGTAAGAAAAATGAAAACTATCTACAATACAAGATTGAAGGTTATGTGCAAATTTTGCTCGGTAAAAAAGAAAATTATAGTCCTCTTATTCATGGTAATTAAAATCACTGTAATTCCTTAAAGAAGTAAAAATTTTATTTTACAAGTTTACGATTAAACATCGCGTACAACTATATTTTGCAGTTTTACTTCTTTTTGTCCTTTTTGGTGAATCGAGGTCCTCCGAAGTTCTTGCCCTTGTTGAATCTATTCTTTCCTGCCTTATTTGTCAGCTTAACGCTGCTGACCTTCTTCTTGGCAGCGATCTTTGTCATCTTCTTGTGCCGATTGGCCTCGGATCTGAGGAATAAGGCAAGAAGTTAGTACACCATTAAAAAATAAACAAAAATGTCTATGACTTACCTTAAACGTAAGGCCCCACCACGACTGACATCGGTCAAATCGTTAGTGAATGCCGATTGGCTGCCGCGCTTCTTGGGTTTGCCTCCAGACGGACCGCCTCTGTGGACTTCGGTGGCAGCTCCCAGTTTACCTGGGCGCTTGCGCAGCTTGGCCATCTTGGCTCGCACCAGCGACACCTTCTCGATCTCTTTCATTGCTCGCTCCTTGGCCAGCTGTTCGGGCGTCTTCTTTCGGGGTTCTTCCTTCTTCTTCTTGTTTCGCTTTGCCTCGAGCTCCTTGACCGGCGGACCATCTTCTCCATCGCCTCCATACTCTGGTCGCTTCCTCTTTCCAGCTGTTTTGCCCTTGCCCTTTCCACCAGCTGGTTTCTCGTCTCCGGTTGTCAAAGCCAGTCGATCCTTCTCTGCCTCACGCTGCTGCCGTGTCTGGAACCAATCACGTCTTTCGTTGGACTGGCCCAGAAGCTTTCGCTCGGTTTTCGAAAGCTGTTGCTCCGTTTTGGCTAGCTGCCGTTCAGCTTGTTCCTCATCCAGAATGTTTTCTGAAAAGGAAACCACAATAATTATCTGAAAATCCAGAAAATACATTTTAAAAGAACTTACGAATTTCTGGTTCCAGACTTGTGAGCTTATTTCGGTACTTCTCAATGATCTCCGGCGGGATGATACGATTCTTAATAGTACTCTCAGCATTTTTGATAATATCCTTAACAATCTTACGCTCCTTTTCGCCGGCCAATGAAACAGAAATACCAGCACGTCCTGCACGAGCGGTACGACCCACTCGATGAATGTAATGCTCTGTGGTGATGGGCATCACAAAGTTTATGACCGTCTTCACACCCACGATATCAAGACCACGAGCTGCTACATCAGTTGCGATCAACACGTCAATCTGCTCCTCCTTAAACTTTTTGAGTGACTCTAGACGCTGCTGCTGAGTGAGATTTCCGTGCAACTCACCAGCCCGAACTCCCAAAAGACCCAGAAGAATGTGTAGTCTGTGGGCCTGTTTCTTAGTTTGCACAAACACCATGCAGTGATCATGGAAAGTTCGACAAATCAAACTGGCCAAGATGGGCTCCCGATCACCTTCTTTATCCTCACGAATACGGATAAATTCCTGGCGCAGATTAAAGGCCACCTGTTGGTTGTTGTTGACGAACACCTTCACAGGCTTGTCCAACGATACGGCAGCTAGATCCTTGACCTGCTCGCTCATGGTGGCGGAGAATAACATGGTCTGACGTGTTTTGCAGCAAGAGTTTATGATCTCCTTCATCTGTTCAGCGAAGTACTCGTCCAGCATACGATCGGCCTCGTCAAGAATAAGAACCTGATCGAAATTTCACATGTCAATTAATATGAAGTAAAGGAGGGATAATTATAGGTATATAATTTAGAGATCAGCTTGCATTTGCAGCGCAGACACAAGAACCAGATTTTCCTCTTAACTCAGAAAAGAGCTCAGAGCGCAAGGATGGAGAATCATCATATCTAAAGTAGTAAAACCAAATGCTCCGTGGGTTGCTCACCTCAATGGAATCCAAAGTGAAACTGGGAGTGTTTTTAATGTGATCAATAAGACGACCTGGAGTGGCAATGACAATGTCAGGATTCTGCCGCAGTACCGCCTCCTGGGCCTTTACATCCAAACCTCCGATGGCCAAACCCACATCTATGCTTGTGAACTGGCATAGCTGCTTGGTCACTTGATAAACCTGGGCGCCCAGCTCACGAGTGGGGACGAGTACCAGTACCCTGGTGATGGCTTTGTTGTTGAGAGGGCGGTAGAGCAAACGTTCCAGTGTAGGCAACATATAGGCTGCAGTTTTGCCCGTTCCCGTGGCGGCGCAGCCACAGATATCGCGACCCAGGAGAGCAACCGGAATTGTGGAGGCCTGGATAGGCGTGGGATAGATGTAACCAAGGACACCGATGGCTCGCATCAAGGGACGCGACAAATTCATCTGGTAGAATGAGGTAATCTGCTCGTTTCCCTCAATAGTGTCGTCGAACTGCATCTTCTCGCCCTCCTCCTCCTCATCTTCCTCTCCAGCCTTCTTCTTTTTGTTCTTTGACTGTTTCTTCTCTCTTAGCCGAAGGTTGTCATGTTTTAGTTCATCCTCGGAGAGATCTATCTCACTTCCATCGCTCTGCTCAGCGGCCACCGCGTCGGCGCCACCTCTTTTCTGCAGACGGGCAGCGATCTTGTCGTCGGTCTTTGTGCGCGCCTTCCTCTTCACATACTTCATGAGATCGTCCCAAGTGTCCTGATTGTACTCTTTCACAGAGGAAACGAACTCGAAACCCTTTTCAAACTCTGTTACCTTCTTGTGCCTCAGTTTAGTGGGTTGGTACTGCAAAAAAACTCGGGCTCAGTTTTGGTTGCAATTTAAAATAAAGATTTCCCTACCTCCACTTCGGCATCGGAGTCCTCCGATAAGTTCTCCACCTCGGCATCGTCTTCAATGGTGCCTATCAAGTCTAGATTCTTAGTTGCACCCATTTTACCCAGCTAAAAACTATTAAAAATTCCAGCGCGTGTTTACAATTTAAACACGTGTGGCCTGTTAGTGATGAGAGAAACTGTGGTCAAGTCATCGGTTGCAAGTATCGTATGAATGTAATATAATGTTTTATTGAGCAATAGCATTGGCTGTCGATTAAAATTTATTTTTTTATTTAAACTATCTTTATTTTTCAGCAAAATTAACGAGAGATGTTGTAGGTAAACACAAAATTATTTCTTATACGATATTTAATAGGTCATCGTCGAATCGAACTCTACGTGCCGGCAATAACTATAAAATTCTATCATCACTAACTAATCAGCTGTTACCCATCTACAATTTTGTTATGAAATTTATTTAAGTTTCGCATTGAAAATGTTGCGTATACTAACAAAAACAAGAGCCCTTCGGTGAGTTTGTATAAAGATGAGATCACAAAAAACAAGGAAAATAAACTGCTGTTATTGCAGGCAAATTATGCCAGCCACAGGCGCTACTTCACCCGTATCCCGCTTCTATGCTAAGAATCAGGGAGCAACCAGTCCAAAATCGGATGAAGACATGATCAGCAACGAACCCATAAAATTCTTCGGTAGCCAGGCGGCCACTTGGCGCGCCAAGGACACCCGGAGTGGCGGAAGTGATGAGTCCCTGTGGTACCAGCCCTACGTGATCTCCGCCAGTTTGGCCGTATTCCTCCTGTACTTTTGTGCACTGCGCGAGGAGAGCGACATCGATCTACGGCTGGAGGGCAATTTGTACGACCATGTCAGCGGTCTGGAGGAGGTGCAGCTGACGGTAAACTACAAGTACAACAAGGAACATGGATTGGACACCAAAGAGCAGGAGACTCGGCTCAGAGAACTAGGAATAGATCTGCGCCAGTTGGACGCCAAATTGGCCGCACAGTAGTCATAGAATTGGTTAATTATACGTTTTTGTTTCGTTAAGTGAGAAAGTTGGCTTAAATTAAACATTTTAGCAACTGAGGGAAGAACATTTTACAGCTATTTCGTCTTCTTTGTAAAAAAAAAAGATTAGATAATTTTGAAAACCTGGTCTTTTAATAAAATATATTCATATTATTATATATTTTATATTTATTAAATTGTAATTTTTTACACCATATATCTTTAACAATTCTGTAAAATATTAATATATGAATTGCATTTTTGTTTTTCTAACAGTTTTCCAAGTGTGGCCAAATTGCACTCCCAATGGTAATCGGCCCAGCTGATTGCTATCGATACAAACAGCTGAGTTACACTAGCAGGTGTGCACACACTGGGATTCCGATAAGAAACCCGCAGGAAAAGTAGAAAAAGTAAACTTATCCAGACCGCTCTATCCATTATCTGTGCATTTCATGCACACATCCGTTGACATTCAACCGTCTCCACCCCACATAGTAGTTTCCAGTGGCAGGCGAAAGACTCCAGCAGCATGGTAAGTAAACAAAGAAGCCATATCGCACGGGCCCCCGCCCATCAAATGTCTGATTTGCATCCAATCACGCCTTTGCAGAGCTACGATGACGATGACTATCCGGCGGACACGTTCCCCAAGGACTTTGGCTACCGGGCTTACAACCAGGATGGTTTGGAACTGGAGCCCAATGCAACGGGCAGCAGCGAGACAAAACCACGAATTCTGCTAATGGGAATGCGTAGATCCGGAAAGAGCTCCATCCAAAAGGTTGTCTTCCACAAGATGTCACCAAATGAGACGCTGTTTTTGGAGTCCACCAGCAAGATCGTAAAGGACGACATCAACAATTCCAGCTTCGTGCAGTTTCAGATCTGGGACTTTCCCGGTCAGATTGACTTCTTTGAACCGACCTTTGACTCGGACATGATCTTTGGAGGCTGTGGAGCTTTAGTCTTTGTGATCGACGCCAAGGATGACTATAACGAGGCTCTGACCAAGTTTAAGAACACAGTGCTGCAGGCCTACAAGGTGAACCAGCGCATTAAGTTCGAGGTGTTTATACATAAGGTAATATCCATGATTTAAGCGCTTATCGGAAATGATAACCCAGTGACACCTGTTCGTTCACAGGTGGATGGCATCAGCGACGACTCAAAAATGGAATCGCAACGAGACATCCACCAGCGATCGTCGGATGACCTCAGCGAGGCTGGACTCAATCAGATCCACCTGAGTTTCCATCTGACCTCCATATACGATCACTCGATCTTTGAAGCCTTCTCCAAGGTTGTACAGAAGCTTATTCCCCAGCTGCCTACGCTGGAGAACCTGTTGAATATCTTTATACCAGTAAGTTGAGTTTGGTTTTTAGATATAAAAGGACCAATCTAATCATGTAACCTTTGCAGAACTCTGGCATAGAAAAGGCCTTTCTGTTCGATGTTGTTTCCAAGATATACATAGCCACGGATTCCTCGCCCGTCGACATGCAGACCTATGAGCTTTGCTGCGATATGATAGACGTGGTCATTGATCTTTCCAGCATATACAGGCAAGCAAACTATGAGTAATTTAATGTTTTTTTTTTAAACACAGTTGTTCCTTACAGCTCCGAGGAAACCGCGTTTGACAGTGGAAGCTCTAGTCTCATCAAGCTGAACAACAACACGATACTCTACCTGCGGGAGGTTAATAAGTTCCTGGCCCTGGTATGCATCCTGCGCGAGGAGAATTTTAACCGGCAGGGCGTCATCGACTATAATTTTATTTGCTTTCGAGACGCCATTAGCGAGGTATTCGAGCTGCGACTGAAACGCCAAAAGCAGCTTGAAAACAACGACCAGGACGATGATGACCTGGTCGAGGAACAGACGCTGATTCGCCATGGCCATGACGCAGCTGGGATCTCGCGTGCGCAGCCCATCAATTAGGCGTACTCCATCCCCAAGCGGCGAGCCCAATTTTTTCCCCTATTCTAGCTTCTCTGTGGACACATTGATTCCAATTTGTACGTTCTCTTCCGTTATATCTGCTGTTAATTTTGTCTACTGATACGTTAAGTCGCCACTCTCACAGAGCAGCGTAACAAATTGCCCAGCGGTTGAAATTAATGATAATACTACCAATAAATATGTCTATTTTTAAATACAAGTGGGGTTTGTTTTCTTTTTAATATTTTGTTTCGTTGTTCACTTTAACCGCCAAAATCTAGCTGTTTTAGCGAAGCTCAGAGCCGGCTTCCCCCGACTGCGCAACCATTGTAAGCGAAGTTTAGAACCACAACTAGATAAGTGCGTACTAAATCCTAAAATATCGATAGCATAATCGATATTTGCCAACCTCAAAATGAAGGTGGTCATACTGGCGCTCAGCTGGCGGAGTTGTTGTTATTTTTCCATTTCTCCAGCGCGAGGTCCGAAATTTTCGAGCGCAGTGCGAAAACATTTTCCCGGGGGTTAGTTTAAATAATCGCGTCTAGTTTAATTAGCCAATTTTGCGGGGTCGTTTGTGAACCACAAAATACAATTTCAACGCCCAGACGCTAATCGTTAAAACAAACAACAATAAATTAAAAGCGGAGATAAAAAAGAAAGAGAACCCTGGAAAGTGGTTAATGTGTGTGTATTTGGCGAGCAGTGGCGGAGCACTGAAAAAACCAGTTAGTTGGCAGTGAAAGAGATTCAATAACGTGTTGGGTGGAAGAAAAAAGAAGAACAAATACCAAATTGTTTTGAGTGCGCGAGGCGACGACAAACAACTGGTCCGCGGTACGAAATAAAAAAACGTCCGCTTTCCTTGCTTATTAGCGGTGCTTTTCTCGGGCCCACGATCCAAAGTCAACTGGAAATCGGCGATACCTAAACCGGGCTATATCTATTACCCAGCAAATTAATATACATCCATACATATACATATAATATATGTGGGCAAGTGCATCATCATCAGCATCTTAATCAAATAGCAGGTGCGTACTGTTTGCAACTTTCGACATTACTTTCGTCTGATCGGGTCTTTCGCCTCTATCTTTCTATCTCTCTCTGGTGCGTGGTGTCTACTATATCTTGCTATATACAAACACATATCATTATTTTTCGGTTATTTGTTAACAATAACCCTACGTGGTGGAGCATCTTTGGCATTCATTCAGTCGGCTCCTCATTCATTTGCCTAACACACAAACGTTTTTTTTTCAAGCCAACAAACAAATAAAGTGAAAGGTGGCGGCACGCGTTTTACCATCTTTTTTACTTTTTTTTTTGGCAGCAAGGAAAGCGAAATCGTTCTTAGTCATCGGGATTTTCAGGGGGGTTGAAGGAGGGGCAAGTCTAGGAGGAGTCTTTCCGGCTGGCAACAGGCAAAATAATGTCAATGAAAAACAATTGATTATTCGTTGCACTTCCACTTTTTGATTTTTTCCCAGACTTTCATTGAGTTATCAGAAATTTCAGGGATGAAAATCACAGTTAACCTTCCCTAAAAACAAAACCCGGATTGGATAATACTTTGTATACTTCGAAATTGGAAGGATACATTTCTATTCTTAGCAAAAAAGACGAAAATTTATAAATTGAAAAGCGACGTTTATGTTATTATAATTCAATCAATTAAAAGAGCAAACGACTTATTTAGTAAACATTAATGCCTATTAACTTTAGAAATCTAGAAGCAGAAACTACGCCCGACAACCGGCAAGATACACCGCTGTTGACCCACGTTTATATCGATTTTTGCAGCAGCTGGAGGCGGCTTAATCATTAGTTTTGTACCACGACAAGTGTTTCGTGCACCACACCCACTTATGTCAGTGGGATAAGAGCAAGCGGAAATGATTTCATAGACCGAAACCCACCCCGAAAAATGAAAACAGACCATGTTGAAAGGCGCGTTGCCATGTTTTATGGCCATTGCCTGCCCCAAGTCGCTTTTCCTCGTTTTTCTTTCGCTTTCATGTGTTGAGGTTAGGTCTCCCTGAAATCCATCTGATTTTTCGGGGTGCCGGCTTCTTTGCGTCGTCGCAAATGTAGAAATGTTGGATTTCGGGGAGTGCAAATAGTATGCTTTTCGTTTTCATCGAAATTTCACGGCCGAATTGATTTTTCCAACATAACCATTACAAAATGCTTCGCAGAAATGAAGATAATAAAAGCACCTTTTCATTTTCGCAGTCAGCACGCACATCGAGATAATTATTACCGCTCATTGCCGTTTTCCCTCTTACAAAACTACATTGTTAATGCGACCAGCACGTGCGTTTACGCATTTGTGTTTTCCGTTTTTTAGTTTTCCTCTGGCCATCTAAATTCTCAGCTGCCCCACCAAAATAAACGGGGGGAGACCAAAAGACGCAACCATGACCAAAGAAATTCAAAACTTAAGCAATTTGTAGGCAAATTAAGGTGTTAACTAACCGTGAAGTTGGTCAGTGGGAAAGCCCAACGATGATGCTCTAACTTAAAGCTTTTACAGAGTGAAAAATATGTGCGTCTATTATAGATGTACGTAGAAGTTCTAAGGGAAAACTAAAAGTGATTACTTTTCTTTAAAACTTTATCTTTTAATGTAATCGAATTGATTTCTTGACATAGATTACATATTCGAAGGTATTTTCCCCCGTGTAGTTTAGCCAGACGAGCAGCTCGGAAATTGTTTGATCGATTCGATTCCTTCGTCTGCTTCCGCTTTCTGCCTATCGGCTGGTGCCTTTTGCCCGGTTATCCGCCACTTGCTAACAGTTGTTTTCGTACGTGAGCAGATACTCACTGACAGATACTCAGATACTTTTCTCTATGGATGTGATGCATTGTTGTCCACTCAACGCTCTCCGTTCTCCGTTCTCTATTCGCCGAACTCCAGCTCTCCAAGCGGAAGCAACTCCATTTATGTAAATTGCTTGCGTGACATTTCAATGCGACCGGGCGCTTTATGAAAAGCTGAAGCGGAATGGGTCGAAACGGGACGGGATGAGGAGGAGTATCATCAAAGAATCGGCTTCATTGTTGGACCCGCAGATCTCGAAGCCAGGGTTGCCAGCCCATCTAACTGCGACGCCTCGTCATGCCAACAGCCGAGAGTCGCCAATCAGTTTAACTGTGCTTTTTTTATGGCCGTACTTTTCGCTTTTTTACGCGCACATGTGCAATATCATTGAACTAACGTTTTTCCAATCAGTATGGGCTGATATACTTGGCAGTAGTGTGAATGAATCTGCAGGTTTTCCATCTGCATGATGTATTAATTAACAGCTGTAATTATCCATAGTTTCTTAGTGGTTTTGAAGTTGTTAATATGGGATGTGGTACAGTATTCTCTCATTTTTCCATAGGGAATAGTAGAAAAATTTGCATTTTAGATTATAAGTAGTAAACAGTACTTATTATTTAAATTTATAACACCCTGGAAATCCGATTTAGATGCTCCTTATTTGAAAACACTTAAAGAAATATTGCTGTGGTAATATCATAAAATAAAGTGATTGCAATTCATTTTTTCTATAAGCATGCGATGATCACACATTTGGCACTTCCCGTTTCAATTTTCCCGAATTTCCGTTCCGATTTCATCTCCATAATTTGTGAACTGGTGAAATAGGCACTAAAACAAAAACTGAAAAAAAAAACACAATACAACCTTTTAGATTACCATTTTTCGAGATATGTTACAAAAAGATAAAACCTCATATTTGGGTTTATATTGTCGGGCTGCGTAAACTTGGCCCAAAACAAACTTTGCCACGGGTTTTCGGCTTTAATTCGTTTGCTTAATTTGCTTTTTTCGTGGTAGCAGTTCAGCGAGGTGAAACGGTTAAATGTTTTCAAAACTGCCCCACTGTTTTCCATTCCTTTCTCCTCAATGTGCAGAAAGAGAGAGAGGTACTCTCCTATATGGCTTTGCGTGTGTTCATTGTTTTATTTCGGTTTGCCCGCCCCTCCGGTGTGTGTGCATTATGCTAACTAGACCCTAATGTCGGTGCCCGGGTGTTTTCCGAGTGCTCCACATTAGCGTACCTCGCTCATATAATATGCCCCATAAAGGGCCATTCGATATATATTTAAGCCAGGGCTGCGATTCCACGTACTCCCAAGTTCATTGCACTGGATCGTAGCCCCAACCAATTGCACAAAGCAACGACTTTATGTCGGGACCCTCTATGGGTATAAAAACCAAAAACCGATCCAAAAAAGCGACCATAGCAAATGGAAAATGTCAGCAATTTATGAATAATGTAGTGAAAAATACAGGAACCACAGAAAAACGTGATCAGTAAAGGCCACAAAAAGCAGTGCATAAATAATACTTATTATCGGGCAGGGCGAAAACGACATTTAAAGTTTTAGTTTCGCCCACAGACAATCTGAACCGTCGGTGCAAAGCTTATTCCGCGTAGTAAAATGGATATTCGCCTATAGCCAGTATGTTTCCATCTGCCAACTGATACTTCTGTTTGTCTGAAACCAAACCTAACCGCCCGATGTCACTGTTTATTTATGCACTAGCATCTATACACAGGGAAAAGTTTTCGATTTTAAGATACTTACAAAAGATACTTTTTTAAGGGATGAATAAAGGAAAGTTTTAAAAACATTTCTATAAATTTGTATATTTCTATAAATATATAATCAATAACCCTTAAAAAACTTTAAATATGATTATTTAAATCTGCTATTGTTTAGTTTTTTCTGTGCATATTTCTCTTCACTTCCATTAGCTATGGCAGCTCAATTTTCTGCTTGTCTCCCGTGCCTTTGCCCACAAAATGTTGACTTTTCGAATTAAGTTTCACCGTTAGCAAAGATCAGGCGGATTCTCGCCTTTCGGCAGCGTTGCCGGCAAATTTCGCATTCAGTCGAAAAAATTGACCTAGTCAACGAAATGAGAGATCCGCGATTTTTTTTGAGAGAGCGAAACTAGTTTTTAGAGCTTTTAGAGAGCTTTGCCAGAGCTTTTGAACTCTCTTTATAAAGAGAAAGATCTCTTAGGTTCTCAAACTAGTTTCTCTTTGCATCTTTTGTTTTTGGCATTGGGTACTTCGTGGTTTTGTTGATACTATAAAGTTTATAGTATAAACATTGGAAATAACTATACCCAACCTTTGGGATCCCAAGGTTTACTAACAATACAATTAAAATCTAGACTTTGGGGATGAAAGTTGAACTCAGATATATTTATAAAGAGCAGAATAAAACAAAACTAAGTACAAGGTGCAACTGCCAGGTAAAGCTTTGAATAAATGTATTTAAATCAAAGTTCAGCTTAAAATGGTGGCCAACGCTCACCTTTCTCCTCACTTTTCCCCTAGAATTACGAATAATATTAAGTAGGCACTTAGTTGCTTACAAACTTACGCAAACAAACAACGAAGTGGTTGTTTGACAGTGCCATAATGAGTAAAAACAAGTGCAACTGGTTGATAATAAGAAATTAATGATGTAAAGGGTGAATTGAAAATGAAAAACCCTTGACTTGTAAAATCTTATCGTTTAAGGTTTTCAGTTTCCATTGCGGTTTTTGTGGCATGTTAAAGCATAACAAAAAACAAATCAGTGAATCATAGGGCATTACATTTTATTACTTTAATAAAATGTGTCAGCATGTGGCTTTTAAATAATATTTAAACGCAATTATTCATACTTTTTATTATATTAAAGTTTAAAGATAGATTGTTCTTCTTATAGAAAGAATTTAGTAGCAATACTTTTAAGATATTTAATCACATTCGCCCAATTCGCATCTTAAGATTAATTAATCCATAGGCTTTAATTATCAGATAATCCTCCATCAAGCCAACTTTTTGATATCAAAATGATTGTGAATATATGCTCGGGAGAACTTTATAACACCCCTGGTGAGGGCATAAAAAACTTGGCGACCCAAAATAGTGCCACTCACTATCCGTTTCCCCACGCGCGTGTCGATCGTGCAATGGTGTGTGTTTATATATTTTGTCACGTAATATGTATGTATTCTCATGCCTTTGTTTTGCTGTAACAAAAACAAAGAGTCACTAATAAAATAGAGAAAATATTAACAGAACTCTTCTAAGGCTAACTCGTACTCCCCTTGCAAGTTTAAGTACTTTTCTCATTAGTATAGCAACAAATAGTTATAGCTATGCCCGATCCGTTGGTGTAAACAATCTCACATATTGTTGTTTACACATTCGCTATCGTTATTTTTAAGTGCAATTTTTTCTGTAATTTGACAAAAGCCATGTGCACTTGTTGTTGCCGCCTGTTGTTGTTTACAGCAAATTAAAGCCAAAGCTCTTTTACATATCCATCCCACAACATTCTGAACGTCGAGCCCACCACTTGCGACCAATGGCAGCCAAGTAAACAAGCTGCGGGCAAAGCAAAACAACACCATCAGCCGGCAACGCGGAAGCAAATTTGTTTACGTCTTATCCAAGCAGTAATTAAAGATCGAAAAAATATCTTAGGGAGCCCATATCGGAGTAGTCTTAGCTATATCTATGACTGCCCACTCTTTATTTTTGTTGTTTTTGAATTGGGAAAAGGCCTTATGAATTTATAACTAGCCAGTAAAAATTGCTAAAAACTGGCCAGATATAAATGAGTTACTTATTTTAAAATATAATAATAATTTATAAAAAAAAGAGTATTAATATCAGGTATAAATGTGTCTTAAACTTTGACTTTATATATTATAACTTAAAAGTCTGCGCATTTAATTTTGTCATAAACAAAAGTCATAAAAAGACCATTCAGACTGCCATTAAAAAGTTAAACTTAACAAATTTTCAACAGAAGAAAGATATATCTGCAATACAAAAAGCTGATAAAAAGTAAATAATACATATAATAAATCAAGCATAAACTTATGGTTAAAAAAACCAATAATTGCCCTCTCCACATCCATAAGTTGGAAACAAAAACCAAGTTGATTAAACGAAGAAATAGCTGAAATGTCAACACTGCCCTCAAGCTAATGACCCTGGATGTTATAATTTACGATAACTTTTGGGCGGGTTTTTATATATGTAAAAAATATATCTGTTTTTTGCTAACAACTTGTAGCTAAGGCGGACTTTTTTTTCGGATGAGAAGACATTCGCTCGCACCGGTTTTTGGCTTTTCGAAGGGGGCCTGCCCTCTTAGCCGGCTTCCGTCTTTGGGGGCACATGAAATTCTATGCTCCACCTAAACTGCGTAGTTCGTTCAGCCGGTGCCATATAGTGCCATATAGTATCTGCCGATGTATGTCGCACACTCGTGTGTGTTTGTCTCACTATACTATGAAATAGTATTCTTGGTCTGTTAGGGCGCGAGCAACTCACACGCGCTCTCAACTATTTCGACCTTGATGGGACTAGCGGCATTATCTGTCCATTCGCTGTTGTTTTCTTGCTTGTTATGACACTCTGAATATATTACATTGTAGAACCTGATATACATATATATATATATACGGGAATGGAGATACATATAAATGAAGGGGCTCGTCTGATGTTGTTTTTCTCGATTTGGATGAATGTAATATGTTTTGCTTTGAAGCTGAGAGAAACCAGTTATCGTCCATTCACTGAAACGAAAAACTGTTTTGCAACTTTAATTAAAAGCTTAAAATATATTATTATTCGCAAACTATTAAATAGTTTAATAAAACCAAACCTTGCGAAATTGTGGTTCGGAATCTAAAATCTTAACATTACCATACCATAGAAATTGGGTTTATGTATGTATATTCATGTCAGCATATCAATCAAAGGAAGCCTGTACATTTCTTTAGGCCCTTTTACTTAAACGACTTCTCTGATTTCATCAAAATTTTAGTGTGTAAATGCAATTCATCAGACCTAACATTAAAACCAAATCAAGCCCTGTGTCCAGCGTCATTTGCCTCATGTACGTACAAATTACCGAAGATGCGAAAGGTTTATGAACTACAGCTTTTCTCCGGCGGAAATGCATTAAAGTTACATATTTATACTTATACATGGTGGAGTAGGGATGGACATTATAGTGGCCACCTTCGTTCGATGGTTCAGTTCAAATTGACGGACTGCTTCGGACGGACGTTCGAAGGGAAAGCGGAAACTGTGCGATAAACCCTCGGTTGTTCCACCCGTATCTTTTGCCGAGGCTCTTATCTTGTGGAGTTGTCTTATCGGGCATATAGTCAATCTTATCGCCAGCACCAGAAAGTCGAGGGAAAAAACGTAGTGAGAAGCAGCCAGCTCAGTGTGACAAAAATTGGCTGGAATTCGATGTGTTTTGCCGCAGCGAGTCGATATTATGCTGCTTTAAGTAGGGTAATAATTAATCAATTGATTACCAAGTTGACTAAATAGTAATTAGTGAGAGTGTTTATGTTGTTTTAAGACCCCACTTAAGAACTTTTCATAAAGTACAAGAGCCTGACACGTGTCTAACCTCAAAAAGAAAAAAAAAAGACATTCGATAATGTGCGAGTAACTTACATTTTAAGCATAGACCGGTGATAAGGTGTAACCAGATAGGTTGATATCGTACTAACTTTAATTTCAATCTGGCTAGATCGATTTCTGATTCATAATTTCATAGAAATGGCCTTGGTATTTCCACTTCCCGTTTTGCAATTTACGACCGATTTGAACCGACAAACCGATTAGATAAACCCGTAGCCTGGTTGTGGGTTATACTTTACAGTGTTAACTCTGTGCTCACACATATGTATACTACACATCCATCCCCCAATTAATCGCCACTAACTCATCCACCAATGACTAAGTCTAAGTCTAAACAACTGCCACAAAAACTAACTAAACGCAACGCCTAACACCGAGTGTAAACGCCTAATCGCAAGAGCATCCCCATTTCTTCTACGCACACAGATCAGGATCAAGAGCAAGGTAACAGGCACAGGACTCATCCAGCAGCACTACATGTTCCACAATTAGAGGTCCTTCTTCAAATCCAAGGATTAATTAAGTACTATTGCAACTATCATGCCGCTCTTCGCCAGAAAATCGCCCAAGCAAGGACCCACTGCGGATAATGTTTCCCAGTTCGGCAGTCGATCCTCCATGAATTCCGGATCCTCGCAAGGCAGCCACATCAGCAATAACAACAATAACAACAGCACTCCTGAAAAGACAAAGCCACCATTGGTCTTCCATTGCCAACTTGCCCACGGCAGTCCCACGGGTCTCATCCATGACTTCTCCAGCGTCCGAGAACTGTACCAGAAGATTGCCGAGTGCTTCGATATATCCGAGAAGGACATTCTTTTCTGCACTCTCAACTCGCACAAGGTGGACATGACGCGTCTACTGGGCGGTCAGATTGGCCTGGATGACTTCATCTTTGCCCATCGCAAGGGCAGGCCCAAGGAGATCGAGATTGTGAAGTCACAAGATGCTCTGGGACTGACGATCACGGACAATGGAGCCGGCTATGCCTTCATCAAGCGGATTAAGGAGGACTCGATTATCGATCGCATCGAACACATCTGCGTGGGCGATCACATCGAGAAACTCAATGGGCAGAATATGGTGGGCAAAAGGCACTACGAGGTGGCACGCATGCTGAAAGATATAGCTACCGGCGAGACCTTTACCCTGCGCCTGGTTGAGCCGGTAAGGAGCGGATTCCAGGGCATCGGACCGCGCAGCCAGTCGAGGGCGTCGGGATCCGCTGGCGGAAAGAACTATGGCAGCGGCAAGGAGACACTCCGATTCAAGGCCAATGGCAATGCCCAAATCGAACCCCAGTTCGATGAGGCGACAGTGGCCGGTATCGAGGCCATCAACAACCTGCTGGAGTCCTTCATGGGCATCAACGATACGGAACTGGCGTCCCAGATTTGGGATTTGGGCGATCAAAAGTCCAACTCGATGGATTTTGCCGAGGCCATTGACAACTCGGATCTGGAGTCCTTCGGCTTCACGGATGACTTCATCATCGAGCTGTGGGGTGCCATAACGGATGCCCGTCGCAAGTCCACGACCAGTCCCAAGTAATTGGGCTTCCATAGCCAGAGTTCGGGACGCATTTCAGTTTGCCCGTTTATTGGGGTCCAATAAAAGCATTGAGATGAGGAGTTGTTTTTAGTAATTGCTATTATCTACTATCTGAATATGTTTTGTTTTAGAGCCTAGTAATATTTACCATATATCATGCTACAATCCCATATACAAACATATGTCGTCTGCCTTTGCCAATTATTTAGTTATTTGTATTCTTCACGGTAACCTATTTATTATATATATATGTATATCTATATATATATACATATATGTATTTTTTCGTTCTGATGGACGGGAGGATGTGTTGAGGCATCCATACTATACATTTTTGGTACAATTTGTTCGATGTACATACTTATAACTATATTTCTTTAGTTTTATCATTTAAACAATACAAATATATTTAAATTATTTAAATCATATCTATGATTTTGATTATTTGTTTTTATTTTGATTGTTGTTATCTGTTTTGGTAAGTTTGTTTATTTACTCGGGTCTTAAATTATGATTTTATTGGTAAATACGTACTGTTAGTTTGTCGTGGGCGATGTTATCTTTTGTTGGCACCGATCGTATGGCACTAGAAAAATATTCCACAGTCCCCAAAAACTGTGACGAATTGTTTGGCTGTTTTTCTCTTTGAGATTTTATTGTTTTTCTACCATTTGTCGAGCATATTTTGGCCATGGATCATTTGAGGACTCATTAGTATGTTCTATAGGAGACTTCCTGTATCTTAAGAAGCATCTATTCAGTCTGAAAACATTTCCAGTGACGTAGATCGCACCATGCTACAATGACGCTTTTTCTGGGGTCCCATAGACCGATCAGATCATACATATACCATTATATTTTTATTACACGTATAGAGCTTTCGATTGCTCATAAACAGCTGCTGTTTGGCGTGCGAGCAGCTGATAAGCACAGTTATTAAGGCTTGCCAATAGAGAAGAGAGAGAGAGAGGCTACTTGCTCACACAAGTCTTTATATACAGCTATGTTCATTTTAACAGTAGGTATTCTATAATTGTGTGGTAAAAATAAAACAAACCAAATTTTTTAAGCATAGTTAGGGAATATAATACATGTGTAGCTAAATTCTAAAATGGTTTCGCAGTTTTAAATGATTTTCAAATATACTTCTTATACCCTTCACTATTATTGTGACCTTAGCTATATGTACATAGATATGCCATGGCAACCAGAGTTACATGACTTTCCGGTTTTACAGGTCTGTGGCAAAGCTTTTGCTCTCTTTCTGCACTCTCCGTTGCGTTCTCTCTCTCTCTCTTTTTCTCTCCCTCTCACTCACACTTGGGCACCTGACTAATTCGATTAGCCGTACCGCTCCAACGCTCAGTCTTCAAAGAGATCTCGACCGAGTAACAAGTGAACGGAGAAATCCGAACAGTGAAGAAACTCTGAAAGACCAAAGAAACACACAAGAACTCTTTAATAATATTGTGAAAAAAGCAAAAACAATAAATACACGAAAAGCAGTGTGATCCGCCATAGTTTCGTTAGTGTTTTCAAGGGCACCCCGATTATACAGCTGTACTGCAAAATTTCAGTGGCAGGTATTGGATTTTGTATTTGGATTACACATCGAAAGAACCATTGAATTATTTTGAAAATTTCCATTATACTAGAGATCCGTCGAGAACGTTTGCCCTGCAGACGTATTCTTGGCAAGATCTTTGGTTAGACTTTGTGCCCGTGTTTGTTTGTTTGTTTGCTCGCCTCTTGCTTTACGCTCGCATTCCCCGATTTCGATTCCCTGGACTTTGATCGTGACTCAACACAAATCAGCAAACAGCAGCAGCAGTAGACCCAGACCCATTAAAATGCATATTATAACTAAACTTGTCGCGAAATTGAACCAATCTGATTGGACTTAATTTTCGATTTGAAACGGGAACAAAATTGGCGTGTTTAATCTTGTGCACAGAAAAATATCAAGGTTTTTTTTTTATAATAAACAAAACTTTGGTTATTTTATCTTCTTAAAATACAGTATGTATAAAGAAGCACAAATGTTTTTCCTTATCTTTCAAGTCACGAAGTTTGTGTTTGTGAGGAAATTTGAGTTCTCCTTTGTGCCTTTGTCTGGATATTACTGAAGTTGGCCCCATTCTGCGGTTTCTTTGTTAATCGCTTAGTGTTGTTACTCTTGTTACCATCGGCTGACTTCCATGTGTTTCATCGAATGTTGTTTTGCTACCTGCTTTTGCTCTATCATTCGCATTCGCGCTTTACTTAGCTCCGCAGCTTCGCAGGTGAAAGTGAAGCGAGACCGAAACGCGTGACAGATGGCGTGATGTCTGCCGTTTGAATTCGAGTGCTGCGTGCAATTGTAGGACTCCAGATTAGGTCTCCCCTCCTTTCCAACACAGAGAGAAACAAGTATCAATATAAATATCCATCACTAAAAAGTTGTCTAGTGTCGAAATATTTCCTATCTATTATGTTTTATCATAAAATGATCTAAAAGAAAAGACTTCAAAAATATTTCCTTCATTCAAAAAACGAATGATAATGAAGTAAGGCCATAAAATAAATTGGTTGGTTGGCTTCAAATTTATTTAAAAGAATAATTTTACCTGTAAATAAACCAAAAACTTTAAGGGCTTGCCTGAAAAACAAATATTTATTTTTAGACTCTACATATTATTATTTAGTATTTGGATTTATAACAGTTGTTATAAACCAAAGATAAGGAAAAGGGAACTAATTTTTTTGCGTATTCAGATCGATTGAGTCTTATCTAGCAAATTCCTTCGAATTCCCAGCCAGTGTGAATAAAATAAATAATCTCGTCAGAGATTGTCGAGGGTGTTGAGTGCCGTCCATATCAAAAAAAAAAAAACCAAAAAATCTAGCAATTATCGTTTGCTGAATTCGCTTAATTATTGTGCAATGTTGGACATTGAACTCTATGGCTAGTTATTAACAAACTTGTTAGTATGTATTTCAAGTTGTAAAAACTCGCGTTCCATTCGATATCGCGTGATGTCTTTTGGTGTCCATGATTAATTCATACTTACATATACTGTCGCTGAACGAATGGGTTTGTGTGGGGTTATTTATTCTGTTTTTTTTTTATCATTCGCGAACGGTAGAACACGCCACTGGCATCGGTAACCGTGGTTTTGATAAGCGGCATTCGACTTGGGGTTTATCGCCCCAATTCATCGGTGACACTCGTAAATAGTTTTTATCCCAGATAAGCAGTCGAAAGTGCCTTCAGCGAGGCCGACAGCCCCTGTATAATTTTATTTACCCACCTTTCCAAGTTTAATCTCTTGCCTTGAACTTGCTGTAAATAAATTTAACCGCTTGCAGAGAAAATTCAATAAATTTCAATTAAGTGGTATTTGCTAAATGAACAAAATTGGCGAAAAGAATAAGGCAGTTTATTTTATATTTTTATAAAAAACTATATACATTTCTAGTTTAAAATAGATCTAACTAACTAATGTTTAATTTACTCCAAAACACTTTATTTTAACTTATAATTAAACTGGCTAATAACTATGTTCGTAATATTTGCTCTAAAGCTAATTCTTTTCTTACCAATAACTCATTTAAATAAGGAAATGGTTGTTAGTCTTAGCAAAGTTGGTTGCTATGACTGTGACCCCAAGTGTAGAATATATTATAGGCAGCTGCTTTGTTTATAATTCTCATTTTGCTTTTGTTTTTTTTCGACGTCACGTCCGCCGTTTGGCAACATTTGAGCGTAAATGCAATGTGTTGCTGTTGAGACATTGCTGTTGCTGCGACGATGTTGACGGCGGTCAGCAACAGCAACACATTTCTCAGTGGCTTTGTCTCTGGTCTATTGCAACTCACCTTGACTTTGAGAGAGACAGAGAAGAAGAGACGAAAAGGTTAAAAATAAAATTCAGGTGCACTGTTGGGGCTTCGAAGCACAGGATGCCCACTGATGCAATTTGTTTATTTTTTTCTGCAGAGGCTCTCTCGCCGTTGCCAAGCCGAAATATCTGTCGGAAAAATGGTTTATGGCCTATACAAATTACTCATAGCCGTTTCCGCTTTGCCCTTTACAGTTGCCGTATCTCAAAGGCGGGTCCAAAGTATCGCCTATAACGTCGCATAGCCGGATTCCTTCTTCAAAAAAGCGGCCCATTTGACCGCCTGCCAATAAATATGGCTGCCATATAAGCATATACGGCGGACGCAACCACACACAAAGTCGGAGCTTTGCGATTAGACAAGCAGAAGATTTTGGGGAGTTCAAGGAGAGATCCCCCCGCTTCAGTAGTAAGGAAACCTATTACTAGGGAAGAACAAAGGAAAACACACCAAAGATGAACAGCCTGGCGCGGGTATTTAGCAACTTCCGCGATTTCTACAACGACATCAATGCGGCCACTCTTACGGGAGCCATCGATGTGATCGTGGTGGAGCAGCGGGATGGCGAGTTCCAGTGCTCACCCTTCCATGTTCGCTTCGGCAAGCTGGGAGTGCTAAGGAGTCGGGAGAAGGTGGTAAGTGGAGTCATTAGATCAGAAAAAGTAGCTTGAAAGATAAACCGTCAGTCGAAGTTAGAAAGTTCATTCTTTGAGTTTTCATTTTCATATCTATCATCGTCATTTTAAGATTTGGCAAAGACGTGATGATCTCATAAGTCTCTGATACTTAGGGGATTTATATTTTTACAATATTGAAGGAACCTTAAATATAGAAACAGATAATTAAACCTTTTAAACTTGGTACTTAGGACCTAAGATATAATGTATTTAAAGATATTGCCAGAGTGCTTATCTCATTACCTATAAATGTGCAATCAGAATAATTGTGAAATATGCAGTACAATGTCGATGATCGCAATACATTTGTATATAATATTAAAATATGTTCAGATATATAGCATTATATAAGCTAAAAACAAGAGGAAACGCTATAGTCGAGTGCCGCGACCATAAGATACCCGTTACTGTTTTACAAAATTTTAAAATATTATTTTGCTAGTGGAAATTCACAAGGCGCCACCTATTGTCAGAGGAAATATGTTGAGTATGCTTATAGTGACGTCACTGCCCATGTGGAGCCTTATAACCTTAATTTCTTCATAAATAGCGAAATAATGTTCCGATTTGAAAAATCTTTGGTAAATCGATAGATATTAACAAAAATAAGTTATACAAGGTCAAACGAAGGCATTCATAATAATATTATAGACGTCACAGTTTTCCGCGGTTTGTGGGCGTCAGAGTAGGCGTGGCCGGATGCAACTTCGTAAAAAGTTGCAAAGGCATATCCTAAATACGTGATCCTAAACAAAATTATGTAGCTCTTATAGTTTTTGAGATTTTTGCATTTTTGGTTGTTCAGATTTTGTGGGCGTTAGAGTGGGCGTGGCTTGATCGAAAAAAAACAATTCGCATTGGGAGCATAATAAAAACCTACATGCTGAATCCGAACTTTCTATCTTTTATAGTTACCGAGATATCAGCTTTTCTAGAAAATCCGAAAACCGTCTTTTGAGCCTTGTGGGCGTATGGGTGGGTGTGGCCGGATAGTAGTACCACTATAAGATGCGCTGCCAATTAAAGATTATAATTTTTGAATTTCAACTTTCTAACTGCAATAGTTCCTGAGATTTCAGCAATTTTAGTTTTTTGCGATTTGTGGGCGTTAGAGTGGGCGTGTCAGGATGCTGTAATAAACTTGCGCTTTCCCGGGACCTCAAGAATCTTCATGCTTAACCTCAACTTTGTATCTGCTATAGTTCCTGAGATCTCAGCGTTCATACGGACGGACGGACGGACGGACGGACGGACGGACGGACGGACGGACGGACGGACGGACAGACGGACATGGCTCAATCGACTTCGCTATTGATCCTGATCAAGAATATATATACTTTATAGGGTCGCAAATGCTTCCTTCTATCTGTTACATACTTTTCAACGAATCTAGTATACCCTTTTACTCTACGAGTAACGGGTATAAAAAGAACAGATACTCGGTTAGGAATTCCGGAAGTAATTTACATATAAATATTAATATTTTCTCAAAAGAAACATAATTTTTATATACCTATCTATGATCCTCACCTTCTATTTAGGTGGACATTGAGATCAATGGCACCCCAGTTGACATACAGATGAAGCTGGGCGACTCTGGCGAGGCCTTTTTCGTAGAGGAATGCCTGGAGGATGAGGACGAGGAGTTGCCGGCCAACCTGGCCACCTCGCCCATTCCCAACAGCTTCCTGCAGTCACGGGACAAGGCCAATGACACAATGGAGGACATCAGTGGAGTGGTGACCGACAAGTAAGTTGTATTTGCTTGATTCTCCGCCATCCTCAACTCAACTTGTCATTCGCTTAACCATTTTAGAAATGCTAGCGAGGATTTGCTCCTGCCCCTGCCGTTGCCGCGACGAAACTCCATTGACTTCTCCAAGGAGGAGCCCAAGGAAGCCGCCGTCGAGGGCAGCAAGTTCGAGAACCAGGTCTCGGACTACACGCAGCGCAGGTACACAATGCCTTTTCATACTCATTGTCATAGGGACAATATCCAACTAACCGGATCGTCATCTATTACAGACATACAGACAACACTCTGGAGCGACGCAATCTGAGCGAGAAACTCAAGGAGTTTACCACTCAGAAGATTCGCCAGGAGTGGGCCGAGCATGAGGAGCTGTTTCAGGGCGAGAAGAAGTCGACTGAATCGGAGCTGGAGAACCAAAGCAAAGCTTCCAATGAAGCGGAAACAGAAAAAGAAGTACAGACACCGGTGGATAATAATGAGAAGGAGCAGCCTAAGCCAGATATTACCCTAACTCCGGTCACCACCAGCGAAACCACCAAGGAGGTGTCCAAGAGCAAGACCAAGAAGCGACGTAAGAAGTCCCAGATGAAGAAGAATGCCCAGCGTAAGACCTCCTCGAGCAGTTCCATGGGCAGTGCAGCCGGCGGTGATTTTCCCTCGGGGGAGACACCGTCATTGGGGGTGACCAACATTGATGAAAACGATACCCCCATATCCAGTGCCACCAACAACAACAACACCTCCTCATCAAACGATGAGCTACCGTCGGCTCCTCTGGTCACCGCTCGCACCGGTGACGATAGTCCACTCAGCGAGCTTCCCCACACCCCCACAACCAAAGCGCGTCTGGATTTGGACATTCACTTCTTCAGTGACACGGAGATCGCTACACCCGTGGGTGGTGGAGTTGGCGGATCAGGTCGCATCGCTGGCGGACGACCTTCGACTCCCATCCAGAGTGACAGCGAACTGGAGACTACAATGCGGGATAAGCGGCATGTAGTCGATGACGAGAACGCAGCCTCGTGGAAATGGGGCGAGTTGCCCACACCAGAACAGGCCAAAACTGATGCTATGAGCGCCGCCCAGGTGCAGCAGAGCGAGCACCAGTCCATGCTCAGCAACATGTTCAGTTTCATGAAGCGAGCCAATAGAATTCGTAAGGAGAAGGGTGTTGGCGAGGCGGGCGACATCTACCTCTCCGATTTGGATGCTGGCAGCATGGATCCCGAGATGGCTGCCCTGTACTTCCCAACGCCCAGGTGCAAGGAGGCCCCGATACCGGAGGAGGATGGCGAGAGTGGCAATGGAACCAGTCTGCCTCACTCGCCCAGCTCCCTGGAGGAGGGTCAGAAGAGTATTGACTCTGACTTTGACGAGACCAAGCAGCAGAGGGACAACAAGTGAGAACAAAGCACAAATATTTATATTCTATATTTCAATTACAATATTCTTTGTAGATACTTGGACTTTGTGGCCATGTCCATGTGCGGAATGTCGGAGCAGGGAGCAGCGCCGTCGGACGAAGAGTTCGATCGTCATCTGGTCAATTATCCAGACGTAAGTATCCTTTGAATGGCCCAGCGCTATGTTCTGTGTATGTGTTTAAGTTCCATGCACTTCACTGCGCCCCCACGCACTGCATCCCGCCTTGTTAACCAGTCTCTTCCCATGCCACGCCCTCATTTGTACCTATGTGCAGGTGTGCAAAAGCCCAAGCATTTTCTCATCGCCTAACCTAGTCGTACGGCTGAATGGCAAATACTACACCTGGATGGCTGCATGTCCCATTGTCATGACAATGATCACCTTCCAGAAGCCACTAACCCATGTAAGTTGGCTCAACGCCAAGCCTTCTGTGTAGCCCCACATCACATATGCATCCCATTCTAATCATACCTGTAATTTCTCGTCGACCAGGATGCCATTGAGCAGCTTATGTCGCAGACTGTGGAGGGCAAATGCCTGTCTGCAGACGAGAAACAGGAAGCTGCCGCACAGGCTGACAATGTGGGTCAGACCAGGCGCTCTTGGTGGAGCTGGCGGCGCTCGCAGGACGCTGCGCCCAACCATGTAAGCAACGCCCATGGATTGCCATTGGGCAAGGACGAGAAAGATGGTGATCAGGCAGCAGTGGCCACCCAAACTTCCCGGCCTACCTCGCCGGACATTAGCGATCCCACGCTGAGTAAGAGCGATTCACTGGTGAACGCAGAGAATACTTCGGCCCTGGTGGATAACTTGGAGGAACTGACTATGGCTTCCAACAAGAGCGATGAGCCAAAGGAACGCTATAAGAAGTCGCTACGACTTAGCTCGGCGGCCATTGTAAGTCCTGAGATCTATAAAGTGAATCAACCAATAATAACGAACCCCTTGACTTTTCCAGAAAAAACTAAACCTCAAGGAGGGCATGAACGAGATCGAGTTTAGTGTAACCACCGCCTATCAGGGAACGACGCGCTGCAAGTGCTATTTGTTCCGCTGGAAGCACAATGACAAGGTGGTGATCTCTGACATTGACGGCACCATCACCAAGTCGGATGTGCTGGGCCACATTCTGCCAATGGTGGGCAAGGATTGGGCGCAACTCGGAGTGGCGCAGCTCTTTTCGAAGATCGAGCAAAATGGCTACAAGCTCCTCTATTTGTCAGCCCGTGCCATCGGCCAGAGCAGGGTGACACGCGAGTATCTGAGGTCGATTCGGCAGGGCAACGTGATGCTGCCGGATGGTCCGCTGCTACTGAATCCCACTTCCCTGATCTCGGCCTTCCATCGCGAGGTGATCGAGAAGAAGCCGGAGCAGTTCAAGATTGCTTGTCTTTCGGACATTCGAGATCTTTTCCCCGACAAGGAGCCCTTCTACGCCGGCTATGGCAATCGCATCAATGTAAGTTGTTCCCCTGAAAAGCACTTTTCATATACTAATTACTTCTTTTGTAATCTTTTCCAGGACGTGTGGGCCTACCGAGCCGTGGGTATTCCCATTATGCGCATCTTTACTATCAACACTAAGGGCGAGCTGAAGCACGAACTAACCCAAACATTCCAGTCCTCGTAAGTAGCGATCCGTTGATCCCTTAGCCTAGTGTTAGTTGTAAACGCACCGTGTGCCTCTCCCATGTACTATACTTGGTGTTGCTCATTACTGAACTCATGCCACATCCGATAACGATTAACTAATTCGCAAAACAAAACCAACAAAAACTCAACAATCGCTAATTGGTTCAAGCCGAATTAACTTCATTACGTAACGCTAGGTGTTTTAAAGCTGTATGAGTGTACTTCCTATCTGTGTCTATCCAAAAACGCACCCCCACTCAATCAATCAATCAATCAAATCGATCCAAAAGCCTGCCAAATCCAATTCAAGCATTTTGGTTGTCAAATTTACACAGTGGCTACATCAATCAGTCGCTAGAAGTCGACGAATACTTTCCCCTGCTAACCCACCAAGATGATTACGATTACCGGACGGACATCTTCGACGACGAGGAATCGGAGGATGAGCTGCAGTTCAGCGACGATTACGACGTAGATGTGGTGGAGCTACCAAGTGAAGAGAGTAGCAGTGATGAGAATGATGACGAAGCCCTCTACATTGATGATTTTGTCAACGATGATGTTGCTGACAAATTGTGGCCCTATTTAGCAGCCATTCGTAATATTCGGAATTCGAATTCGTAATTTTAGGCAAAACCCAAAAATAGAAAAAAAAAAAAATCATCCTTGAAGGACAGGCTGAATTCCTAGGCATACCTCAAGTCCTATCCCAACCCGAAGGTTGTGTAGCTAAAAAATTGTGATACATTTTCTAAGACAGTTAGGATTGTCCTATATGTTTATATATTATATATACTTGTATGTGCCTGATGTGCCAGGTCTACGAACTAAAAGTTCGTCGACCAGTTAAGTTTTGAAAGTATTCTGCTCCCAGCAGGTCTTTATGTCTAGTTTTAAGGATGACAAATATATGAACTACCCAACAAAATATAACTTGATTTACGCTGTGATGGTAGACTTTTATTTATCTGAAAATGTGGCATGAGTTCTGAGCTAAATCCGGTAGTTGAATGTAATTAGAGAGTGCATTTAGGATTTTCTCCAAACCCAGTATTCGTAGTTTAGGTATCCTTTAGTATAGGTTTTGTATAGTACGTTTTCTATAGATTTTACTGTACCAAAATAATGCAGTATACGCCGAGGCGCTTATTCGTGGTCCCGCAATTTATACAAATTGCATTGCATACCCACGGGCTGCTGTCAAAGGGGAAGATCATAGCATAGCCACAGGAGTTGGCCTTAAATTTTTCTTATGTTCTCACAAAATCTTGTTTTATTTCCAGATACTGCAGCATGACATACATTGTCGATCAACTGTTCCCGCCGGTGAAACACGATGAAGCCTCCGCCGAGTTCTCCAACTTCAACTATTGGCGTGACCCCATCCCCGATTTGGAGATTCCCGAACTGGAGACGGCACTGGTGCCGCCAAGCAACAAAGTGGACATCGCCACCCTGCGACCCATTCCGGAGAAGTGAACTGGTTCCTTAGCACCCTAACTTGCGTACTATACCATATTTATACGAATATGCAACAAACTCTATATATAGCAGATAGCGCTTTTCCAAAATTTGTTTGCTTAGCTTCAAATCCTCTAGATGTGCTTATCAAAAATTGAAATATCTATAACATTGCATAAGCTTAGCCAGGATTCACGATTGCCTTGGTTTAGTTATGTTTTACTATTCGATCGTATATAGTTTAATGGATGGACTTAAGTTTTAATCAACATTTTGAGTTATTATATATAATATGGTAAGTTCCTTTGAGACTCCTGCAGGTTCTAAGAAGATGCGTGTTCCAAAAGGCGTATGGTAAGGAGTTGTGATTTTTGATTTCAATATTTTTGTATGTGATTTAAATTTAAATTTAGTTCATTGTGATGAGGTTTTTATTTGGAGTTTTTATGAAAACTGTGCTTTAGACTTATGTATACTTAACTGATAGTGTTTCAATACAAATAAATGCTTCAAATTCAAGTGAAAGCCGAAATAAACATATCTTTGTTTGTGTTTGGAAAAAGCCACTTACCTACCTGTGCTTAGCTACTGATATATGATACAGCGGGGGGAGTGAGCCTGGGATAACACTCAATTCCCATGGAGCTTAATTCTCATGTTGCAGTGGAAAATTTTCGTATGTGGCTGCAATAATCGACGACCTGGGGGCACATCTATGACATTCAGGAGTGGGGTGTGCGTTGGCGGGGGAGAATTTCATTTGTCAACGTAATTTTGCCAATTCAATTAATGCTCATTTAATGCAGACCAGACCAGACCGACCGGCCAAACAGCATACACATTGGCGTACAAAGGCCCACGGACAACGAAGTGGGCAGTTTAAGTGACCACAAACGGTCGGCCATGCAAGCCCAGTGGCAGGTTAAAAATTACTTTTTCTAGGGGGTTAAAGTATCTGATAATGGGGTATTTTTTGTCCCGGAATCAGTACGTCTAAGTCTTCATTTTTGGGTTTATTTGCCGACATCTCTTACTAACAAGGCTTGATTTTTATTTTTTTTTGTATCGTGTTTAAGAAAGTTTATTGCTTAAATTATGAAAATTGAATACACCATCGTAACGACACTTCTTCGTTTTCTATTTCTCTAAAACTTATCAGAATGCGAATCGTTTTCCGCGAATATACTTGTAATCTAATATTTTCAAACCCCCGAGAGTACCACCACCCATGTGGATCTCATTTATGTTGAGTTTATAGGCTTCGCTTTGCGGCCCCTCCAGACAAACAATGGGAATTTAAACAGATTTAGCTGTTTATGCTAATAATGCCGCAACTGAAATAAAAATCAGCTGATCAGCCGCTTTAAGAATCTGATTTTTTGTATGCCACAAAGGTTCTTACAGTAGTCTATCCAAAAATGACTTCTTTCAAAAAATCTCGATTATGATTTTTTCTTTACAGAAGGAAAGATATGTAATCAAATGGCTTTCTCTCCCTAAATGGGGTAAACAATCCTCTGAAATTTTGATGAATATATATAACTCATTTTTTTTTTTGCGATATTTAAGATTCTCGAACATACATAACACATACATATAATAAAGATGAGTAATCTAGGAATTATCCCATTAATCATTAAGGATGTACAATCCTTTTAATAAGAATTAATAAACTTCCATCTACCCCTTGATAATCTCAGACAAAATCTCCCTTAAACAACCCCGAGTTTATCAAAAAATTCCATAATGAGATTTAAATTACAGGAGGCGAGTGCAACTCAATTGAGCGACACTCAAAATCGCCCCACCACATTGAGTGCGACATGCTCACATTGAGCCGTGCTCGAAGGTATAAAAACGGGAGCAGCCCAGCTCATAGACAACAGTTTCCTCCGGTTAATCACAGAGCGAGCAATCAGTTCACGTACAATCCCTACACAAAGCAAAGCAAAAAACCGAATTCAGTATGAAGAACGCCGTTGCCATTCTCCTGTGCGCCCTGCTTGGTTTGGTGAGTACGGTAGTGGAGAAGAGCTGATGGCAGCCAGTAATCCACTTGCTTCTTACAGGCCTATGCCAACGAATACAAGCTCCGGACCGCGGAGGATCTGCAGAACGCGCGCAAGGAATGCGCTGTTAGCAGCAAGGTGACGGAGGCCCTGATCGCCAAGTACAAGACCTTCGATTATCCCGAGGATGACATCACCCGCAACTACATCCAGTGCATTTTCGTGAAATTCGACCTGTTCGATGAGACCAAGGGCTTCAAGGTGGACAACCTGGTGGCGCAATTGGGCCAGGGCAAGGAGGACAAGACCGCGCTGAAGGCTGACATCGAGAAGTGCGCCGACAAGAACGAGCAGAAGTCGCCCGCCAACGCCTGGGCCTTCCGCGGATTCAAGTGCTTCCTGGGCAAGAACCTGCCCCTAGTGCAAGCTGCCGTCCAGAAGAACTAAGCGGATGCAGCGCAGTTTCATGTCAATTTTAGAAACGCAAGAACAAACCGCCAACAAGGTGGAACTTTTGAGTTGAAATCCCCTCAGGCTCTGCAATCCTACAATTGAAATAAAACCATATAATAGTGCTTGAAGGAAGAGTGTTCTATTTATTATTATTATTTTTTTGGCTGCCACACATGCAAAGTTATTAGTCTGCAGAGCTGGAAGAGTGTGGCTGAATCCTCGACATCGCTTAATCCTCAATCCCAAGAACCTTGTCCCGCCCAAAGGAAAGGCATAGATAGCTTGTTTAATTCGATTATATTTGTCATCTTCTTTTTCAGTTCAGTAAAATTCAACTTCTTTTCTTTACTCTATATATTTTTTAGAATATATAAATTACGCACTTTCTTTTTTTTCTATTTTGTTGATTTACTTCTTTTCCCAAGAGTCTTGTGTTCTTTTTGATTTTTTTTTATTTTCTTCCTTCTTTTACTTGATTTTGCCATCTTTTAACTTCTTTTATTATAGTTTGTGGTTTTCTTTTGCGTTTCTTTTATATATATATTTAATGATATATATTTTTTTGTTTTTCTAAATCAACTTCTTGTTTTTCATATTCTTTTTATATATTTTTTTTATTATTTGAAAATTAAAATGTGTGAAAAAGGGGTGTTTGGTGTTGGGTGCTTCAAAAAACATTATAGCCAAGATATTCGTTTTTCCATGTTGATTTTTTTATTATTATTATTTTCGAGGTCTCGTCTTTTCGCCTGTTTTCTTTCTGTTGATTCTTTTTTTTTTATTGAAACGATATTTTTTCTGGCGTTCTCTCTTGTGATTGTTTTCTCTTTTTTGTTTTTATTTAGCAAAGAAGTTTGGCAATGAAATAATGTTTTTTGAAATAATATTGTAAAAAAATCTGAAATCAAATAGTTATTGGATTAAAGACGAGTGTCGTTAAATTAAATGAAGGCTTTATTATTCGTCCAATACGATGCGGATGAAAGACAAGGTATTCACTTAAAAGGTATAGAAAGTCAGTCAGTCTTGGACCTCACAAATTATATTAATTTTCGATCCCTCATTAATTAACTATCACTTACTAATTAACTTTTTAGGATATGTATTTTTAAGAGATTTTTCAAATCCCTATTTTGTTTAAGACATTTTAAAAAGTAACTCTCTCAAATCGGTAATAATTTTTTTTTTTTTAATTAAAAACCCCTAATATATTTAAAGACCTACATAATGACACGCAAAGATTTGATGTTGATCCCAAAAATAATAACCCCCTAATCTCGTTCGTTTTGGTTCAGTGGATTAGTTCGAAAAAGTTAGCTTACCTTACTAGGGTTTTAATAAAACAATAATCAGTATGGAGCGTAGTAATTGGCGCGGCCACGGTAACCCCTTCTGAAACGAAAAACAGACCGGGATTAGCTAGATCCAATCGAGATTGGTTAGAGCCCACTTACATAGCGCGTCGAGCGCCTCTGAAGGTGGAGTGACAGCACGCCCGGGAGACGCGGGCTCCTCGACCCCGGAAGCTGCCGCGGGCAAAGCGGTTTGTGGTGGAGAGGCCAGGGCGGTTTGTGCGCTTTGACATTACCTGTAGAGCATTAAAAACAAGGGTAAGAAAGTAACCTTAATAAAAAATTGTGGCTTTTTACCTTGATTTGACGCCCTCGAAAGAGGGTTTCGTTCATGGCCAGTGCCGTTTCTACGAACTCTTTCGATCCGAACTCGATGTAGGCGAATCCCTTGGGATGGCCGTCAGCCTTGTTGCACAGTATGGTGACGCGGTTAATAGTGCCACATCCATGGAAGTGGGCCTCAAGTTCCTCAGCCGAAGCGCCATAGTCCACATTGCCTACATAGACAGACCGCGTGTCGATTTCCTGCTTCTCTTCGAGAGAAAGGGGCACGGTCGCTAAGCCGGTGGTAGAACCACCGGCCATTTGTTTATCCACTTCCGACTGCATTTGTTTTATCTTCTCGGCTTCCTCCTCCATCTCCTTGACTCGCGCCTTGATGGCCTCCAGTTCGGGGTCGATTTGCATGCTGCCCTCCTCCTGGTGACGCGGAAATGACGGGATTTATAAGGGATTTTAGTTGGATTCGTGAAAAAACGCCCAAGAAGCAAGGCAGACAATGAAGTGTCAAAGTGAAGCGACGCTTTGAAAATGGCAGCCATTGCTGCAACTTTTGGCTTTGTATATCCCCCAGAAAGCTTTGTAAGCTTTTCCAGGGAATTCAGAGGCTTTCGCAGGGCGGGCCAATAAACTGGTTTTTGGCCATCGGTAATAAAATGGCATCTTCAACTAGCAATCTCTTACCTCGGTCTCTGTGGTTATCTCAGCCTCCTGCTCGCCATTCGTCTCTTCCAACGACTCCAGAAGCTGATCCTCATTCAGCGTGATATCCTCATCGGCCATTATTTTGGTTTTGTTTACGTTTACCTGCAAAAGCTTGGTTTTGGTGTCGCAAAAGCTTTCGGCGTGGTCTGGTCCGAAAGAACGGCAGTTGTTGTAGCAAACTGATAATGAGAAAAGGGCGGCGAAAGTGAGCACAAAGAGAGTTGAAAAACGTAGAGAAAACAAAGAGAACGCTTGCATCCAAAAATGCAGTGAATTTAATGTTGACTCTCTATTTAGGTAATTTAAAGTCGTGGAAAGCCATTGACCTAGGTGATAAATACACTTTTCATTTCTACATGGCATTTTACCCACAATTCTTACATTGAATATATATATGTATGTACAAAGGGGGTGCTCGCTGTGCTGACGTTGAGTTCGCCCAAAATGGCCGCTGTTCCGTGAAAAAAACACAAGCAGTCAAATCTTTGTCTTCTGCTCGAAAGTCAATGTTTTCGCGCACTTCTCAGTTTGGTAAGACGGAGTACCACGTCAACACTTAATGTTACTGTTTATTATCGACTAATATTTACAGAAATACGAGAAAGTATGTAAGTTTTGCCACCGAAAACAGATTTGTATTCGCCTCGTTTTTAGGGATGACAGTTCATTACAGTTTTCGCCCCGATAAATTTCGTGGTGGGTTTTCCTGGAGATATCATTTGATATTTTTAGGTGAACTGCGTTTTTGCAATGTTCATACTACTTTATTGCTAGTGCAAAATATGTTATTTAAGACAGCCAAGAATCTTTCAAATGAGTTTTAAAGTTTTTTCGCATAATTTACGCCATTTATCTGCGAAAAAATCTAATGATCAGTCTTCTTGCTTCACAGAATCGTTAAGTTTCTACGTCTCCTTAAACACTGTTGCGGGGGTAGTGAGAACAGAACATTAATTTTGGCGCTCTCTCAATATCGCCTGAAAACATTGCACTTTGGTTTTGCTCTTAAATCCGACCAATTATTTTTGATTCTATATTCTAAAAAATTAAAAGTCGTTTCTAAGCCACACATTAGCATTCGATAATGAATAATCAGTAAGAGGGAATATGAATGATTCTTCGGACTCGGAGTACGAGGACACAGAGTACTTGGTATTTGCTGATTTCAAGAACCATATCCATCCACACCAGCTGAAGCACGAGGACGCGGCCATTAAGGTAATTGGGATCGAAAGTGACACGCCTATGGCGGAGGTAAATGGAAGCATCTACCGGGGACACTACGAACATTCCGTGGGGACAAACGTGTTCTTCGAGAAGGATAAGGACAATCTAGCCAGCGATCCGCTCTTCGAGTCCGTGTGCCGCCAACGTTACCAGTACGTAGATAAGTCCTCCAAGGTAATATCATTCGAGAGAGTCTACGTCGACAATTTGCACCAGGAGGCCGAGAAATCAGTTAAAGACGAAGAGAACGAGCGAGGCGAGGCCAAGCCGGAGTCTTTAAAGTTGAATATTACTTATAAGGAAGCGATTAACAAGTTTGGAGAGGACAATTAAGTCGGGTAATAATTGAAATTCACCAAATAATTTTAATATTCAACACAGTACTTTTTAGCATAATGGATAGTTGCTATGTGGCGACGAATCCTACTTTAAACCTACGTGAATTCCTAGCCGGCTATCAGGCTAAGCTATCAGGCACTGCTGACGATGTACCCTTTTTCCTACAAGCCAACCCCGTGCTTGTGGACGTGGGTGAGAGCTGTTCTCTGGACCTAATAGAATCCCCTGACGACAGTTCGGTTGCAATCTTCCAGCCCGGCGTCGACAATTTTCGTCCAACCGTTTTCCGGCCCCAGGAGGATCAGTATGTTCCTTCCACCTTTTCGGCCCTGAGTCAGCACAAGGCCAAGTCACGTAAATGTGCTTTTGGCCGCACTCAGTATAGCTACAAGCTGAATCCGCCGCCAGCAGACAGTCCCAATCACCAGCTGGATGTTTGTGAATTGGAACTAACCGTGCGGCTATACCGACCTCCGCGGGCCTATCATCGCGGATTTAAAGTAGAGATTCCCGTGTTCGCTGAAGAGTACGTATGCCTGGGTAGCAATTATTTGACCGAGCTGCGCGACAAGATAAGCTGTGTTTGCCGCGGAAAACGCTTCGTGGACATTAGTGACGATCCGGATGCTCCGTTGCCCACCATTGACACTAATCCGGGATACTTCTTCATCAACGACATTTTCTACAATGACAAACGCAATCCTAACAATCCCGACTATTCGCACACCGTCCTGCAGTGGGCGGCTAAAGCAAATGGAGTGAATGGAGATGCGCTAAAGGTGGAGAATATGGAGGGCAAGAGATTCATAGACCTTACAGTTAGCCCAGGTTCATCGCTGCATTACCTGCACCACGGAAATTGCGAGCACCTTTTTGTGATTTCACAGATCGAGGTGCTAACGCCGCGTAGTAAACGTCCAGATCGCAGCCTGTATCCTTACCCTCACGCCTTTAGCACCTACAATCGCAGAACTTGCTACATTTGCGGCATTCGTAGTTTTAGTTTCATTGTTGAAAAGTCCCGACGACAGCTGCACGATCCTGCCTACCTGTGCCGCAACTGTTTCCTCAGTTTCTTTTACGTGGATGGTAGGAAGGTGGGACAGTTCAAGGCCTATAGAATATACGATCATGGTGAGGCTGAAGACGAGGTGGAAGATCGCAAAGGAGACGAGGTGGTGGAGGTATTAGATGAACAAGTACCTATTTAAGATATAATTCTACCTGCAAGTCATGCACATATGAACACTGTATTCGTAATTTACCTACTTGGAATTTTTCCGTATAACTATTGACTATTTTGTAGATTAATCCATTTAAAAAAAATATAGAGTATTGACGTGTTTTAATCGTAAACTTCATTGATATCATGATCGCTCAATGAGTTGATTGATATTTTATTTTTGTAAAATATTCATAGATAGATTTAAATAAAATACATACACATTGCAACAAGAGTAATTGGCATTGAACAGATTCGATTGCCGTAAAGCTGCCTAAATTCCATGCAATCTAGATTAGCAAAAGTTAGTGTCCAAGTTAGGAATACAAAAATGCAAACAACGTAAATAGTACAATACATCTGGCTTATGACTAATGTTAATACATTTATGCAATAGTTCAATTTTTACACAAATTTAAGGATTTGCGCACTCGAGTGCAGAGTATAAACTTGACCAAGACCGGTGGAAAACAAACCAATAGACTAAATATGGCCAATAACATAGTTACTTATCCTAGACAAGATACTAGTACTAGTGGTACTTAGTAGTACAATACAGTAAAAACCTGCGCACTGGGATTACGGCGTGCACGTGATGAGAGACTGTGCGCTTAGTTACTGGGGCGTAGAAATGCATTACAAACATATTGCCAATCCGACCAACAAATATCATTACGAGTCATTGCAGGATGGGATTCAATTTGCCCGGACCTCTTTGGTGTACGTGCTTGCGTTTACTTCCGTGTTAAAGCTTTGACCAGCGGTGGATGGCGGGCGCCTAGCTCTGGAAGACCAGCTCCCGCTCCACCGACAAATACTCCAGCATCTGCGCCGGTACAGGCAGCTGGGCTAGCTGCTCCCGCGACATTTGGCGCTGTAGGACGCGTCGGCACAGATCCTGCAGCTTGGGCATGTTGGCGTACCTGCTCAGCGGGTACTTCAGGATCACTGGAAACGGCGGCTGCATCTCGTTGGGAACCTTCACAAAGCAGACGAAGTTGTCGTTGGTGCAGCGGTGCAATATATCCTCGATCATCTCTACAATCGACACGTACTTAAGCTCTTCGAAGTGCCAAAAGTCATCGCGGAACTCCAAACGATAGTGCAGCGTTACATTCACAATTCGGAAGCTCAATGTAAACTGGGATCCACTGGTTTCCGAGTCTCGAACCAGGAACGACCCAGTCGGCTTGTCGCTCAACTGCCGCTGTGAATCGCGCCTGGAGATCTCGCCCCAATACCACACTTGGCTGAAAACAAAGGAAATGAGTCATCGATTGCTGACCGTTCGAAAAAGAAGGCGCTTACTTGAGCATCTCGGAGCAGGCCTTGTACATGACCTGATTGGGCAAGTGGTCCTCGCGTTCCAACCACTTTTTTCTAATGAAGCGCATGTAGTCGTGGGTGAACAGAAGCGTGGGTTCCGTACAGATGGCTGGCGTGAGGAACTCATAGGTGGCATCTGTGGTTCCACCGTCGTCACAGTCCCCCATAGAGTGCCAGTTGCGTAGGGAGCTAAGCCCTTGGCCCACCTTCCTTCGAAGTCTGGCAAACACGTTTCGCTTGTCCTTGTCTCGCCGCCTGCGCAGTGTTCCCGTGCCCCCATTGCTGCAGCTGGCCATAGATGAATCCGCTGCCTCAAGGACGCAAACTTCGTTGTTGTTGTTCTGGGATCCACTAGTGGATGAGGACACGGCTAGCACTGAGTCGGATTTTTTGCGCCTGGTAAGCGAGTGGAACCAGCCCTTCTTCTCCTTCTCCCTGTCGTTTGTGGAATCGCCTCCGCCAGTTCGCTCCTGGCTCCGCTGACTCCTTTGGTTGTGACTCTGGTCTCCGTGGTTCATTTTGGAGTGGGATCGGATCAGATCGGAACGGAATGGAAAAACGTCCTCGTGGAGGAATCACATCATTAATCTAAATCAGAGCCGTGATTAATGCCAAACTTTATTGATAAGAACTATTTGTTTTCGTTGTATACAAGAACTATCTTATCGTTATCGGTTGTGCATACTTGGCTGCTATCGATATCTTAAGGTGGGTTTTATATTGTTAACTTCTGCCCGGAATTTATTCATGTTTGTTTGATTTTTTATTTGCTAATGTTATTATTCTTAAATGTGCAAATAAACAAATAAAAAGAAACGAAAGAAAAGGAAGATTCAAGATACTAAGAAAAGAAGGTTGGATTAACGATAGCGCAATCGATTTTAAATCCACCTCTAGTGGGCGCATTTTGTGATACAGTTTTTCCCTGATAAAGAAGCATGCACAGCATGAAGGTGGATCTGTCGAATTTTTTCAAGGATGAACGCCGGCAATCTCTAGTATTTATCGATGCAACATGGCAAAACATCAAAGACGTGCAAGATCATATTCAAAACCTTTTCAGCTTGGTATGTATGGGCTTGTGATCACTGGGAAAAGCTAATAGACTTCTTTATTATAGGACAACATAAGCCTCCTTACCACAGATGGATGCTTTTTGCCTCCGAGAGAGTCTATTAAAGTTCTCAAATCTGCCGAAGGACTCAAGTAGGCAAATTTACATGTGTACTTCGCTTAACGAGAATATACAACACTAATTCATCTCTTGCAGAGCCTTTAAGTTCGCGCAAAATGACAAGGACATTTTTGTGAGTCCTGCTCCAGTGAAATCTAGCAAGCGGAAGAATCGTTCGTCCGATGAAGAGGTTCACCTTTCCGCCTCGACTCCACTCCGTCCATCAAAGCGCTCCAAAAACCAAAGCGAAAAAAAGTGGAATGAAATCGTCAAAGACACATCTTGTGTTAGACCGGAGGACCAGAAGGAGGACGTTCCTGGACCTTCTGTCCAGTCAAAGCGTTCTAAGAAAAAGGGTCAATCCAAGTCTCCTGATATTGGGGCAGAAATTACTTATGTGTCAGCTGAAGAAGATGCACCTCAGAAGCGTTCTAAATCGAAGAACCATTCAAAGTTGTCAGAGGTTCCAGAACAAACAATTGATTTAAAGGATAAGAAGAGCCACTCGCCTAAGTCTCCTACCAAAACAGTTCTTCCTCCGCTGGAAGAAGTCGAAGTTGTAGAGGAAGAGGAACCAGCCAAAGAAAAGACCCTGTCCAAATCCCCTAATATTCCGTCTGAAACGTCTCAGTTAACAGAGAAGAATCTCAAGAAGCAAAAATATTCCAAAAACATGGGAAATAAAAACAAATCGCTTAAATTTCCTGCCAATTCAATTGAACTGGAAGAGGAAGAATCTACCAGTCCAACGATTTTATATCGTTGCCCTCTCTTGGAGCTGGACTCCAACGTTGCACGAGTATTCGAATTCCCAAAACAAACAGACGAAGTTAGAATTATAGAAAATATAATACTTGAACCCATTGATACACGTTTTTTGCCGCAGAAAGAAACTGAGAAAGAGTTTACTGCTAATGGCTTTAAAGATAAAGAAATAGTTGATGAAAAGGAATCAATGGTACTCGACAACATACAAGTTCCAGAAAAATCATGCCGAGCATCCTCAATTGATGAAGACGAAGTCACACTTCCAAAAGATACAACTTCAGCTGAGATCACCTTACCAGAAGAATCAACAAATGCTGAAATTACAACAGAAGCGGAAGCCCTTCTTCCAGACATTTCAATTGAAGCTGAAAGAGCAAGTGTAGATGAAGTAACTCGCCCTGAAAATTCTATTACAAATGAATCAATTCTTCCTGGCAATACAACTGGGGCATCAGATTCGCCATTAGACAAGTCCAATACCGATACAATTCTTCCAGACGATGTTAAAATATCCATAAATAAAAGTGAGGTTGATTCTGAAAATATAAAACATTCTCCAGTCCGGATTTGCGCTGAAAATTTAGTCTCAGATTCCGACGACGACGTGATGTTGGTAGATGACTCAAATATGGATACTTCCGGATCAGATTCTGATGTGGAGTCTGTTCCACGTGAGATGACTAAAGAAAACTATTTTGGAATTATATTTTAATAAAATTCTTTTTACAGCCCCGAATAATAAGGAGTCTTCAGATATTATTTCGGATCTTCTGCGGAATGCCACTTCGCTAAGCGACCTTCCGACCAAAGGTGACACAATTGTTTTTAAGCTGCAGAAGGTCAAGGGAAACCCGAGATCAGGAGCAACGGACTTTATCGCCGGCAACGTCACCTACATAAATCGGCGTACAAAAGTCATCACTTTAGAAACAATTAGTAAGTCAGCATACCTACTGACCTACCTATTCTCGAATAACACATTGGATCTATTTTCAGGCAGCCCTTCTGGAATCGGACGTATATTGCGCCAATACAGTGCACCGATGGGTTTCGACGATTCTTCTGATGAAGTGCGTCCTTTAAATGTTCAGCTCAAAGACATAATAGAAGGCAAAATAGTTGTAGCCACAATCGACTGATTATGTGTACATTCTTGTATTCTACTTCCAGTGGTTCGTAAATTTATGCTTTTTAAAATATAAACGATTAAACAACATTTAGATGCACGAATTCATGTTATGAAGCTATCTATTCTCTACTTAATGTGCTCCTTAATCTTTTTTAGCAAATCGTCGGCCTCGTCGCCGGTTTTTACGCGCAGCAAGAGAGATGTAGCCTTGGTGTCCTCCGGCGTTGGCACGCAGACCATCATCACGTTATTCTTCCCCATACGCTGGCAGGGTATTCCCTCGCTTAGAATCAGGTTTACCAGAATATTGCCTAAATTGGTGTCGGCGCGCACCAGCAGCTGGGTCTTCTCAGAGTCCTTCACTGGTTTTAAGTATAACGTCCCAACGCCTCGATCTCCGAAGTCTTTTTCTTTTTTTATGAATACCTTGCACCGCTTTGAAAACACAGCATCCTCCTCCACAACCTATCAAGAGATAAAAGTAAAGTTATATTTCAATTAACTAAATCATTGTAATCAATATACCTGTTTGAACTCGACCTTTGGCGGCTTGTCCTCTTCATCCTCTGCTTCTTCACTGACAGCAGTTGCAGCAGGCGGCTGAATGTTTCCGAAGGAGAAAGGCTTGGCACTGTTGGTAAACGAGAATCCTTTTAAGCCATCTCCTGCTCCGTCAGGTGCCTTCCCGAATCCTGCGAATAAAGAAGAGCTTGGCTTGTCGTCGCTGCTGCTCTTTAGTCCAAAGCTAAAGCCATTAGTCTTCGGTGGCGAGAACAAAGGCTCATCCTTTTTGGTGGTGGTATCCTTTACTGCGATACTGAAGATGCTGGACTTTGGGGCATCATCGGGCTTGACTTCACCAGCAGGCTTTGATGACAAACTAAAGATACTGCCAGAAGTCGACACTGGAGCACTGGAAGCTGCAGTACTTCCAAAGGTTAACTGCGGTGTAGTTGTTGTGGTGGTTGTACCACCACTGGTTACGGTGCAGTTGGGCTTCTTGCCGAAAAGCGATGTGCTGCCACCTACCGGGGTGGTGGGCTTGCCAAACGAAAATGTGGCAGCCGGTTTTGACGGTGATGATGCACTGGACACGACTGCCGCTGGCAATCCAAAAAGGGGTTGTACAGGCGCGGTCTTTGTAGAGATAGTTCTGGCGCTCTCCTCGTCCTGAAGTTCCTTCAGATGCTTTTCATATTCCTTGAACACTGGCGTGAGTATGCAGTATGGACTCTTGTTCATGTGATCCTGTAGGAACTTCATAACGGACCGATTTAGCTCGGCCACACTTTCCCGGTACTCGGAGGTGGTCTCTATAGTGGAGGTGGAACTTGTGCTGGCTGACTTGCTGCTGGTGGCTACCGGCAACTTCGGAACGGTGCTTTCCTTTTTGGTCACTGATGTGTTGCCAAAAATTGAGGGAGTCGGTTTACCGCCATCCGTGGTACTTGTTGGTTCCTTGGCCGGAGGAGGGGCCTGAGGAGTGGTGCTGCCGGTGCCAAAAATGCTAGAACTGGTCGGCTTATCAGCCCCACTGGAGCCAATTCCAAATAAGAAGGGGGCCTTGGGTTGATCGTGTGTGGTGCTCGAAGAAGAGGACTTAGCAGTAGTAGCGGCTGGAGCCTGCAAATTCGCCAGAAACGAGAAAGGAGAAGGCGAGCTTCCCGCCGCTGAGCTTGCAGCCGGCTTTCCGAAACCTAAAATCAATTAAGTTGTGAGCATTATCATCCACCAATATAGAAATAATCGAAGTAAAAAAACATACCAGAAAATCCACTGAACACGCTCTTGGGCTCTGCTGGCGTTTCATCGGCGCCATCCTCGCCAGCGCCAGAGGATCCACCGGCAATCTTGCGGCGCGCCTTCTTGATAACGCGTGCCTTCAGTTCCTGTTCGCTGGCCGTGCGAAAGGTGCCGCGCTCCTCGGGCTCCTCCTCCTGGTCCCAATTGTCGTGATTCAGGTTCGAGGTGGCCTGTCTCTTCCCAACCATTTTAATTGCACTCTTTATTAAATCTCAAAGCAATACCGGCGTAAATGCAGAAATGCAGAAAAAAAGACGAATGAAATCCACACCGCGTTGCTGCAGTCGATAAGTATGGTTATCGGTGACTCGCTTATCAAGCGCAGTTGTGAGCGAACAGAGCTGACGTACTATCGATATCTGTGTGTGTATATCGATAAAACAACAACAGCGAGACGCCAGCAGCACAAAATCGCAATAAAACAAAAGTATTAAATCACGCCTAAAGTTAGGTCGACCATGTCCAGTGCCGCGAATCCCAGTGCGAGTGCCCCGTGTTCGGTCCTGCCATGATTCCCGCGATTTCTACACCCGCTGTTGCCCGGGCACTGCGCATTTCTACTTTCCTTGGCCTTAGCCAGAGTTAATTGTGCAGTACCAGTATCAAAAAAAAAAAGAAAAAACGCAGAGAAGCGAAAACTAAAAAGCAAAAAATCCCAAATCGCGGGAGGATGATGAGAACGCCAGTGCGTGGATATATGGATATAGTGCCAGGGAAAGTAACTACACAAATCGGGAGTGAACAAAGGCGTAGAGACACGTACAGTGCATAGAGGCGTTATCCTGGTTTCTCACAGCTATTCGCCATCCCGCTCCCACTCCCATTTTGCTCCCGTGCCACGGCCTTGGGCGTGAGCTGGTGTGCGTGCGACTCGTGTGTGTGTGTGTGTGCGGTGTGCGTGTGCGTGTAAGTGAGTGATACGTATATATCAGGACATCGGAACATATCCTGAGCAACAAAATGCCGCCATCCCTGATTGCCGTGTCCGAGTTCGTGGAGGAGACGCGCTCCGACTACAGCTCGCCCACCACCTCCACCTTCGCCTCCCGGATGCCCGACTGCCGCCACACGATTGGCATTCTGGAAGAGGTGAGTGTTGTCGCTGTCCGTAGAATCCTAGTTTTATCTCTCAGGTAGTCGATTCGAATTATGTATCACAGCAGTAGTTTAAGGTGGCCTCGAAAATCCAGGCCGTTTACAGGTGTGTTCGGGGAATCCAAAATAGTAGGCTGAGGTACATACATATATTACATATTGCATTCTATTGATCAGGGAATCACTTTGTATAATGAAATAAACCTAATTGCACTTAATCTCTTAGCAATTAACATATTAATTCAAACGATATAAGTTAATTTTCCTAGTTTCTCCGTAAATTGGAGTGTACTTCTGTAAGGGAAAACATTTAGATAGCTTTCCAACATTTTTATATAATGTTTGGAAATGTTTTACAGTAAAAACCCGATAACCACTTGATTTATTGTTATTGTTTTAAAATAAAGTGATGAAGTGTTATTTTTACAGGGGTCATTATATATCTGGGATGAATAATTTATTTATAAAGAAAAATTTTTCAGATAACTGCCAAGAGTCAGACAAACATTCCAGGGGCTGATGTAAAAGAGTTCCTTATAGTATAGTAGTAGAATATAAAAATAAATTATTCTTTCTAAATGACACATTTGAGATAAATATAATTTGGATGACTAAAATTAACTGATTTTTTTGGGTTTAAAGACAAATAACCCTTATAATTGTGTAAAGTTTTTCGTACGTATTTTGGCATTACGAACTGTCATTATAATTTCGTGTGAATAGCTTGGAAGTTATTGGATTATAATCGAATTCCGTGAAAGTGAAAACCGGAGCATGACTAGATATATAGCCGTGCAATACTGCAGTAAACGTGGTAGACGACGCCCCCTGCAAAACGATGATTATTATTAATATTTGCACAGGGGGAAGCAACAAAAAGATTTGTAAATTGGCGCGGCGCCAAAATGAGCCACCGCCTGTTATTTTAATGCGGTCTCTCTTTCTCACGCTCTCTGGCTCTCTTTTTAACCCCGCAAGGTGGTTTTCCTCGTTTCCATATAAATAGTATTATGAAAATACAAAGTGCATTCCTGGCCATATCAATGCAGATGGAGCTAGGGGAGCAGGGAAATGGGCACAGGAGTAGTTGCCACATGAACATGCTGCAATTTCTATATTTACTCAAGGCAGCTGTGATGTCGCTTCTTATAAACATATATATGTACATATATAAATATATATATTACGTACACCTCGTCCGCCCTCTGATAAAGCTAAGCACACAAAGAATATTGTACGGCCGGAAAAAGGCGTATGATAAGAAAACCGAGAGCTAAAGCTATTCCCGTACGGACACTTAGTCAGTGGGGGATATCGCGCACAGAAAACACAGAATGTCTAAGTGGAAAATTCATCTATTTTGTCATTCGAAAAGACCCTAGAGTGTTTCGATTGTGCAATATGCAAAGATATATTTAAGTATAATGCTCCAATTCCCCCGGCAAATGCAGCGCCCGGCGAAACAAAATTAGACGATTTATTGGTCACGTCATTCCCACTTTTTCCCGGAACTCCGGTCCGCCTTCTTGGACACCACATTCACATCCCCATCAAACATTTAATATTTAATTTCGCTGATGGATTTTTGGTGTAGCCCAAGCAGCCCAGTGACCTCCATTCCGCCAGTTAAATGAATTTTATTTCATTTTTTTGTGTGTTTGTTTTTTTCAGCCAGTCTCTCCCATTGCGTGTTTATTATATTTGGAGCAGCTGTAAAACTGTCTAAAATGAAATTTAATTTGGCTCAGCCAAAGAGTTTCTCTGCGTGCCATTCATTTTAGCCGCTTCTATAACAAAGTGTTGCGGTTTTAGCCTTCTTCTGGGGCTTTGACTTATTATAAATTAGCATCTTTTGTTATCAAAACAGCAGTCAACTAACTTAACTGGTCAAGAGAGCAAAACAAGTTGACGAATATTGTTAGCTGGTTTTTGTTTTCGTTCTAGGCGTGTTGTTTGCATTCCCAGTAAATTTGCTCAACCGCTGATCATGACTAATCTTCGCCAGCCGTTTGCTTGGGGTTCGTTTGTCCCCAGATGTTTGCCTCTATCGCATGGTATCGAATTGCAATCGCAAATAGTCAGGTTTCCCTGGAGCTCACCCTTTGCCGAATCGCTTGTAAATTATTTTCAGCACATAACATTTAATCTAATCTGTAGTATTTATTGGGCAGTTGTTAGCCTTTAGCTCATATTTCATTTTCAGCTGGAATGTAAGCGATCTCTGCTGATTTCTGTGATTCCCAGACGAATTAGGGTGTTCCTTTGCCCCTCCTTGGCGGCTAATTCAATTTTTCATAAAACATTTTGAATTGAGAGCAATTGGGCAGAGTCAATGGGTCAATGGGGGAAATGAACTTCTCTTTTTCGTTTTCGACTTCAGATATGGATTTATGTTTGTGTTTCCGGTGTTTGTTTATCAAAAAAACATCAGCCACATAAAACATTAATGCACAAAAAAAAGGGGGGCGTGTTTCGATGGGGTGGAAGTGTTCCAATCTTTTTCACTTGCTGTCTTAATTGGTGCATGCAACTGCATTTGAAATGGGGCTTGTTCGGTTATTAAGTTTAATAATAGAAGTGACCTTGTCGTACATTTTCAATTAGCCAGTGCCATAAAATGTATGAGAAACATCGAAGGGGTTGGTCAACCAGCAAACCAACAGGCGAACTGAATACCAAATGCCGATATTGACGGGTGTTCAATCTGAGAATATTGTTCATTCGGCGTCTATCCAAGGCGTTTCCTCTATTTTGTCTTCCCATTTTGGCTGAGCTTTGGGAATGCATTGTGGGTGCTCCTTTACAAAAAATAAGGTATCGCCAATGATAAATAAAAAAGCACATCTTGATAATCAAATAAGATTGCCTAACTAAAAACTTTTCTCGCTTTTGTCTACTGATTAATAAGGAAATATTCTTCCTCCTTTCAGCGCTTGGAGTTTGATCGTGAAGGTCTAACCAAGTTAAAAAAGGCAGTCAAGGCCATCCACAACTCGGGAAACAGTAAGTATATCCTCTGAGATAAACCTATTATTGTTTTTTTAAATAATCTTTGGGTGCTTTAATCTTATAGCCCATGTGGACAATGAGATGTTTATGGTGCGGGCTCTGGAGCGGTTGGGCGGCAAGGTCATCGAACAAGATGAGCCGGACATTGGCGCCGCGTTTCTTAAGTTTAGCGTTGTCACCAAGGAGCTCAGTGCGCTGATGAAGACTCTGGTAGATATAGCCAGCTTGTGCTCATTACGGCGTTATCTAAATGTTAATTTGTTTACCCACTAAAACAGATGCAAAACATCAACAACATTGTGATGTTTCCGGTGGACTCAATGCTGAAGAGCGAGCTGCGGGGCGTAAAGGGTGACATGAAGCGGCCCTTTGACAAGGCGGCCAAGGATTACGAGGCGAAGTTCATTAAGATCGAGAAGGAGAAGAAAGCCCAGGCCAAGGAGGCGGGTATGGTGCGCACAGAGATAGATGCCGCTGTCGTGGCCGAAGAAATGGAAAAGGAGCGCCGTCTCTACCAACTGCAGACCTGCGAATATCTGCTGAAGTACAAGGACATCAAAACCAAAACGGGAATTGAGCTGTTGCAGCACCTTATTGAGTACTATCATGCACTAAGCAAGTGAGTGGACACATACAATAATCTGGGAACTATCTTCTATCAAATGCGTTGTCTTTTATGCAAACAGCTACTTCAAGGACGGTCTTCAGACGATCGAGCATTTTGGCACATACATTGGCGATCTCAGCGAGAAACTTCATGAGATTAAACAGAAACAGGACGAAGATCGTCGCAGCTTGCTAGACCTGCGAACAGTTCTGCGTAGCACTCCAGACTTTGAAAGAGTGGACAATGTGCCGTCGTCGGAGAGCCGGAGCGGGGGAGCTGGTTACTCCCTCCACCAGTTGCAGGGCGACAAGCACCACGGCGTCACCCGGCAAGGCCACTTACTCAAGAAAAGCGAGGGCAAGGTGCGTCGGGTGTGGCAGAAACGTCGATGTCGGGTTACCAGCGACGGTTTTCTCGACATCTTCCATGCGGACGAATCAAAGCCGCCAACGCGGGTCAACCTATTAACATGCCAGATTAAACCGGTTCCGGATGATAAGCGTGGTTTCGATCTGATAAGCTGTAAGTAAAATTATTAAACAAATTTTAATGCTTTGTTGCTTAACGTGTTTCTTTTTCCAGACAATCGCCCTTATCACTTTCAGGCGGAGGATGAGGGCGACCAGAAGGCCTGGATGGCCGTGCTTGTAAACTGCAAGGAGAAGGCACTGACCAAGGCCTTCCAGCATGCCAATCCCCAGATGAGTCCCAGTCTGGTAGAGCTGCAGAAGACGGTGATCCGCTACGTGCAACTACTTCCAGGAAATGATCGGTGCTGTGACTGTGGATCGCGAAACGATGTGACCTGGATCAGCTTAAACTTTGGAATTTTGGTCTGCATTCAGTGCTCCGGTGTACATCGCGATCTGGGCGTGCACCACTCTCGCATACAGAGTCTTACCCTAGACAATCTTACCACGGCCAACCTGCTAATCGCTCGTGCCATGGGCAATAGTACGCTAAACGACATCATGGAGGCGAAACTGGGAAGAGGCAAGCTTCAGCACGAGAGCAGCATGTAAGCCCCAATGCGATTTCGGTGATTTGTTTTCCATTGCTTAGTTTCAATGTCTTTTCAGGGAGGAGCGCTACGATTTTATACGCGCCAAGTATGTAGCCAAGCGGTATGTGATGCGCACATGCGCGGATGACAATGACTTGCGCTGCGACTTAGAGCAAGCCGTGGTGAATGCGGACATGAGTCAACTTCTCCAGGTGTGGGCCGAAGGAGCGGATCTCACATGCTGCCTGCCCAGCTCGGATGCTGGCGAGACGGCCCTCCATTTGGCCGTGCTGCGCGAGATGGGATCTACGCTGCACATAGTCGACTTCCTCATCCAAAATATGCCGCCCAAGGGTCTTAACAAGGCCACCAATCCTGCCGGCGTGCTAGACGTTACCGGAAAGAACACTGCATTGCATCTGTGTGCTCTTCACGATCGCAGAGAGTGTATGAAGCTACTGCTCCGCTCCGGAGCAGATTACGAGCTTAAGAACTCGCATAACAAGACAGCGCTGGATATTGCCAAAGAGATGGGACACAATAGCTGCAGGGAGCTTGTAAGACTCATTGCGTGAGTTATTTGAAAAAAAATTATAAACCAATATCGATATATTGCAGATTGAATGTGCCATTAAGCGAGAGAAGAGCGCCTTCGACCACATCAACACTGACTGGAATCTGCCCAACGAGGATGGTTCCACGGATTTCAGCGACGATGAGACGGTCATCGATGAGCGCGTAAGTTTTGCCAACAGTCCAATAAAAATCCATACTAACTCCTTTCTGGATTATTTGCAGAAATCTCGATCGCGTCCCCCCAGTTTTGCTGGCGGGGACTCGCCCGTTCTGCGCTCACGTTCCTCCACTTGCGACTCTATACAGTCCAGTTCTAGTCCAATCGCCAACTGTCCGAGCCGCCAATTCACTCTGCCCTCCGGTTTGCCCAGCTACACACATTCAGCAGGCACTTCTCCCAAGCAGCACATCAGCGTGGGCCAGTACCTGGGCAGTGCCACTAATGTGGGAGGCGGCGTGGCCGGTAACGGAGGTTCCAGTCCCAGTTCCGCTTCCAGTCAGAGCGTTCGCGCAGCGAGAAACAGCCTGAACATGCAAAGCGATCTGGGCGGGCATGTTACAGGCGCCCGGAAGTCCACGTCCACCGCCAACATGAACTCTCTAAAGAAGCGTACGGCCCCGGCACCACCGCCCGGCACACTGGGCAGTGCTTCGTCAAGCTCGTTCTACGGTACTCTGCCTCATCCGCCGCGGCACTCACAAAATTTCGATGCCAACGACATTCGTGCCATTAATCACAAGAATCAGTCGCTGGATGTGGCCTACGGCACCCTGCCGCACCTTAGAAGCGTGGAGAGCAGCCCTCGGGGCGGAGGGGGATATGGGTATGGAGTGTCTCAGGATCCGGGAGGGTCGGGCAACGGAAGCAACAATAGTCTCATGCCTGCCATGACCACATTTGGCCATAAGCGATCGCCCAGCGGTGAGTCGCTGAACAGAAGTATCCATTTGGCGGGAGCCAAACTGGTCCTGCCGCCAACTGGTGAATTGCCCACGTTAAAGCATGTGGACAAATCAGCGCTAACGCGGCCAAAGATTCCTCCACCAGGACCTCCATCAGGTGCGCTTCATTGCTTAATTCTTTTTGGACGAACATTAATGTTTTTCTTTCTCTAAAGAGCGTGAGATTTCAAACGGACAGTCAAACGAGAGCATAAGTTCTATGGACGAGGGTCCCGTAGCGCCTCCGCGGAAGGTAAGTACCTAAAAAACTATTTAGTGGGTGATTAAAAGGACCTTTGGCTGAAAAACCATACCTTTATCTGTATTTAATCTGATCCGCACTCGGCAAACAATTTGCAGCGCAAGCAACAGACCATCGCACTGAGATGCCAGTCCAGCGAGGAGACGGTAAATGGCAAGCACCACCGCTCATTTGCACTTTCATTCTTTGACAAGCGAACTATGCAATCTAATTGTTGTCGTTGCTGTTGCAGTTGTCGTTTCTCTACTAAGTGTCTCGTTTTGTGCATCTCTCAAAAGCTCTAACCCTTTGCGCCCATACTCACAAATTATATTAAATCGATCTTTCTCTCTGTTCAATTTTGTTTACTCTCTTTTCAACATTCTATTCTTGAGTGTACTTAACGATTATCCTTTGAAATATTCCAGTTGATTAACCAGTCGGCAAACTTCACCGACTACGAGTCCTGGCATACGGATATGGACAGCTCTGGCGGTGGACTGGATCATTCTGCGGAATCTAATGTGTCATCGAGCGACAATGATCGACTCAACTCATCGCCGGACAACCCATCAAAAACTGGGGGTCCAGGACCAGGCGGAAAGTTCCACTATGTAAGATTTAGATATCTACCACTATTGTTCTTATGGAATCCTAATAAGTTGTATTTTTCCAACAGAATGGTCAACGGCGGTGCCGAGCTCTATACGACTGCGTGGCAGACAACGATGATGAGCTGGAGTTCAAGGAGGGTGAGATCCTGATCGTGCTAAATGAGCGCACTGACGACGAGAACTGGATGGAGGGCATCATAGAGGGACAGCCGGCGAGGAAGGGCATGTTTCCCGTCAGCTTCGTTCATATGTTGCCTGATTAATCAATCCCTTGTTTGTGCTGAGTGTTTGGCTGCGCGTGATTGTATATAGATATATATATAGATGTGTGTATGCGTCTTTTTAAAACCTAATGATATATAAGACAAGTTTTTATTTATTACAAGCATTTTATCACAAAGCGTGCGACTATTTATTTGCCTAAGACTAAATATGTAAACGTCTCAAGTGAGCTACCATTAGCTTAGAAGCCAACTACTCATTTACACTTGTAATTCAATCAGAGCCTTTAAGTAGATATCTTGCTGTGCATTTTCCAATGGCTTCCTTTCCAAAGTTAGCGCTTTAATAAGTGAATATGTCCTGCAAATGCTGTAATTCGTACTGTAACTAAATCTAACTTTATCTTAGCCCAAAACGCTGTGCGCAAAAGTTACTCAATGTCAGAAGAATTGTCAGGTGATGAAATTATGTATTGTATGCTTATACTTTATGCTGCCATAAACAGATACTAACGATATCCACGGAAGGCCTGACCTGGTCATGATCTTCGCCTACACTCGTACTCAAGTATTCTAAATCTGTTGTTGATGGTTTGACGAAGAGTTTATAAAACAACGTTGAAAGAAATATCAATTTATCTAAACCAATGCCCAAAACTAACAATTGCGAACGTATTTCAAAAGCCACCAATGCTATTATAAAAAAAACAAGCATATTTCTGCAAAAAGGAAAACAAAAGCCCTTTGTACCTAGAAGTTGTTACCAACTAAGTACCCAATATATATACACGTATTTAAATATTACAATTTACATGGTATACACTATCGAGTCTTGTTTGACACACACGATCATATTGAAAAATCTAAAATGTATATAATAATTTTTTTAAGTCACCACACACCTTTTTCTTTTCACACATTTTGTACACACGTTTCAGTATTTATTTAGCAAAACCTTAAAAAATATTGATATTATATGTAAGTCAAATAAAAGGAAGAACATAACGCTTATTACATATATACACATATATAAGGTTGTGTTTTTACCAAAAATAATGCAGTCGTTTTTGTTGAACTTAATGGAAATTTCAAATTAAAAGGTACTTAAACTAGGATAAAAAGTCGTCTATTGTTTCCTCAATCGTGGGACTTTTCGGAGAATCCGGTTTTTCTTCCGATTTTGATTCCTCTGTTCTTTCTTTGGAGTAATTTTTAAGAAAGCTCGCGTATTCCGTAAACACCTTGAATGCGGCCCTTTGGAGCGACTTTTCTCCGTAATGATTAGAGGCCAGTATTTTGGCCAAGTTCTTATAATCACGCGTCATCAGGCAATTCCGGGCCAACCGAAGTTTTTCAGAGATAATAGATGGTTTTGTTTCGACGTACAATTCATAGCTAATAGAACGCACGCATGATGTGTTCTTATTTAGCCAATATCCATCCTCGGGATTATTGGCGATTTCCAGAGTGCGTTTCAAGACATTTGCCGGTATTCTTCTAGGCGGAAAGTTCGCAGCAACTATTTTCCGCGATGCGGTTTTGACACCTTTTCTTTTCATTTTACACGCGTCTATATCGCAGTACGTATCTGGAATAGAAATACAATAAAGAAAGTTTTCGATAAAGACGAAAATAACTTGGTAATCCTGATTGGCCTACAGTTATCGCAATACCTATTACAGCAATTAATTTTACCTTCAAGAAGCAATATTAAATTAAATTTAAAGGTAACACAAATGAGTTGCCTACAGCGATAAACAATGTAAATTTATTTAACAGCAATGACGATTAACAGTTCTCCCTGCTAAGATATCGATTACCCACATCCAATCGATATTCCTATTCGTCCGATATCCCACAAAGCAATATTTTCCGCATGCAACTAAAAACTAAATAATAAAATGCAAGCTGTGAAATTGTAATTGCCAAGTTGATTCGATTAGAAAAGCCACTTGGTTGCTGAAGAATCTCCATTCGGCCACCAGAAAGCCGACTGCCGGAAAAGCCCACTACCCAGCCGGAAATTGCAAGAATAGTTTCTTCGCCTTGAGGTTGCGATTTTACAATTTGTTGTCGGCTCCAGTGCAAAAGTCCCAAAAAACGTAAAGAATATTTTTCAGTAAGTCTCTGAGCGGTGAGTAACTAACCAATACTGGCCCATGTGTGCGAACAAATCCGACAAACAATATCTAATCTCTACGGGCAGGACAAAACCAGGCCGGTTCGTCGAGAGCAGGGCAGGATCAGGTGACTAGGAGCGGAGTAGAAAGGCAAGCCTGCGGGCAGCAGGGGCCCAAAGCTATGAGTGCTGCCAAGAAGTACAAGCCTATGGACACAACTGAACTGCACGAGAACACTGAAAATATCGCCGCCTGCCTGAAAAAGGCCGAGAACGCTGCTTCCACTGCTGTCGCCGCCTCGAGTCTGGGCCGCAGTGCTTTTGCTGCCCAAAACATGAACTCCGCATCCACCAATGGCGAACGCCTGCCAAATTTCTCAAAGCTGGGAAGCAGCCATGGGGAAATTCGCACGGCTTCAACTACCTCAAACCTTCTCAATCGCATGGGGGCGATACACAACAGCAAGCCCGGCGATGTCAAGAAGATAGTGATTAAGAACTTCAAGGGTAGGTTCTATCAAGTTTTAAATCCCTTCCAGTCTCAGCATGATGTAAATTTGTTCCCTTAGCTAAGCCCACACTGCCCGATAACTACTCCGAGGACACTTACGTCAAGCTCGAGGAGGCCGTTATCGCCATCCAGCTTTCTAAGCCCATTAAATATTCGTTGGAAGAGCTGTATCAGGCGGTGGTCAACATGTGCAGCCACAAGATGGATGCGCAATTGTACGCTAAACTCAAGGAGCTAACAGAGCAGCACGTAAAACGAAATATAAAGCTTAAGGAGCTCACTGGCGGCAGCATGGACAAACTGGTAAGTTACTGCCAAAAGTGTGATAAATGTTTTCTGAACTGTCAATCCCCTTGCAGATTTTGTTGGAGAAAATCAACCACTGGTGGCTCTCTTTCTGCCAGCAGATGATAATGATTCGCAGCATATTCCTATATATGGACCGGACCTATGTATTGCAGAACTCGTCTATTCATTCGATTTGGGACATGGGGCTGGACCTTTTCCGCATCCATTTTGCTCAGAACAGCGTTGTCCAAAAGCGAACCGTCGATGGTTTACTAACACTGATTGAAAAGGAACGCCAGGGCTCCACCGTGGACCGTGGTCTGTTGAAGAGTTTGGTTCGCATGCTGTGCGATCTGCAGATTTACACTAGCTCATTTGAGGAGAAGTTCCTCGACGCAACCAATCAACTTTATAAGGCTGAGAGTCAACGCAAGATGCAGGAACTGGAGGTGCCCGAGTACTTACAGCACGTCAACAAGCGTCTGGCCGAGGAGAACGAGCGCCTGCGGCACTATCTAGACTCCAGCACAAAGTATAAAGTGTCAGTCTCCATTAAAAACATATTATAAATGAATTTTTTCAGGCATCCGCTGATATACAATGTGGAAAAGGAGTTGCTTGCCGAACACCTTACGTCTATATTGCAAAAGGGGCTAGATTCATTGTTGGAAGACAACAGACTGACCGACCTCACGTTGTTGTACGGGCTGCTTAGCCGAGTCAAAAATGGAACTTCTGAATTGTGTGGGAACTTTAACGGTTTCATTAAGGTTTGTATTGATCCTTGAATACCATTACTACACATTTATTTAACGCTTTAAAAAAAAATTTATACAATATGTACTTTTTAGAAAAAGGGACGCACCATTGTCATCGATCCTGAGAAGGATAAGAGTATGGTCCAGGATCTGCTCGATTTCAAGGATAAAATGGATGTGATCGTTCGCAGTTGCTTTGAACACAACGAGAAATTCACAAACTCGTTACGTGAAGCATTTGAGTTCTTTATCAACCAGCGTGCCAACAAGCCGGCCGAGCTCATTGGTAAGCCCTTACGGTTACTAACTATCTTTTTCGTCGTTTGATGTAACCTGTTTCTTCCATTAGCAAAATATGTAGACATGAAATTGCGATCAGGTAACAAGGGAACCACCGATGAAGAATTGGAGAAGACTTTGGATAAAATTATGGTTCTGTTTCGATTTATACATGGAAAGGATGTCTTTGAAGCGTTTTACAAAAAGGTATGTGGTTTTCGATTGTCTTTTTGATTGCGATCAATGACTAAAACTTTTATAGGACTTGGCTAAACGATTACTTGTGGGTAAATCGGCTTCAGTGGATTCTGAAAAAAGTATGCTGTCTAAGCTAAAGCAGGAATGCGGCGGAGGATTTACGTCGAAACTGGAAGGCATGTTTAAGGACATGGAATTGAGTCGGGATATTAATATTGCTTTCCGCGGACATGCGTTAAGCAACAATCGCGATGTCCACAACTTGGATCTATGTGTCAGCATTCTGACCATGGGCTATTGGCCTACATATGCGCCCACGGAAGTCACAATGCCACCGCAGTTTATTAATCCCCAACAAATTTTTAACAAGTTTTATCTTGAAAAGCACAGCGGGCGGAAGTTGCAGTGGCAGCCAACTTTGGGAAATTGTATGCTGCGTGCGCAGTTTGATGCGGTAACTAAACTATGATTTTTATTATTACGGCATTTTTTGATCAATGCTTTATGTCTTCTATAGGGCCCAAAGGAATTGTTGGTTTCGCTGTTTCAAGCGCTTGTACTGTTATTGTTTAACGATAAGCCAATTCTAAGTTATGAGGAGATATTGGCCGCCACACTCATCGAGGATGGAGAGTTACGCCGAACACTGCAATCTCTGGCGTGCGGTCGCGCTCGCGTCATAACGAAAACACCGAAAGGTCGTGAAATTTTGGATGGCGACCAGTTTGACTTTAACAATGAGTTCACAAACAAATTGTTCAGGATCAAGATCAACCAAATACAGATGAAGGAGACGGTGAGATCCCTTTTCGATATTTTATTATTTCAGAAACTTATTCTATTATCCCCCAGAACGAAGAGCAAAAGGCGACGGAGGAGCGTGTTTTCCAGGATCGTCAGTATCAAATAGATGCGGCTATTGTGCGTATTATGAAAATGCGTAAAACGCTAAGTCACAATCTACTCATCACTGAGCTGTTCAACCAGCTCACCTTCCCCGTCAAGGTTCGTACAGTAGTCACGCCTATTATAAGCATCATGTGGACTAATGAGCTTGTTTATATTACAGCCCGCTGACTTAAAGAAACGTATCGAGTCACTCATAGATCGCGATTACATGGAGCGGGACAAGGATAATCAAAACCAATACAACTATGTGGCTTAAAATGCCTCCGGCTTCTGTGAACTTCGAACGCCGAGTCGATTGTACTTCGTTCTATACCATACGCATACATACTAACAGTCTAATGAAGTTTTTGGAGCGTCCTGGTCCGGTCAGCGATGTCTAGAGTCTTTTAGCTGTAATTTTGTTTCTTTCATAACAAGATCGATGAACAATTTCCCATCTAAAGGTAGTGTTGCGACAGTTCTTTTTGTAAGTTACCTTATCAACTAAAAAATTAGGCGTTTAATTTACAATCCGTGCCCCTCGAAAGAGATTGGAAAGTAGAATGCTCCAGCAATATAAAAATGTCCTCAAACCGATAAAAGAACCAAGCGTTCAATAAACTCATTTATTGGACTAATTGTAATTCGTTTACTTTTAATTGATAATTCTCCTTCAATTAACAATAGAAGTGACACTTGCAGGCTAATTTTCTAAAGGAAATATTTAAATAATTATAAATCGTACTCGTAACTCCGTATTGAAAAGAGATACGCATAAACTTAATAGTTTTTTATTTACCATAAATAAAAAAATTACGTGAAAATATTATAATGCACTGTGTGTTTCATTTGTATAATATAACCAGCATTACTGCTTCGACAGATTAGCATCGAGCCCTTTGTTAAGCATTTAGCAAAAGGAATATAGTATGTACAGTTGTTATAGTTAAAATTGAGAAATTAGGTAGATTATATACAGATCAGAAATAAATATTGCTCTCGCGTTTGCGTGCAGGGGTCATATCAAAAACGACATTGAGGCTGGTTTAGGTATCACAAATTCTCTTGCTGTTGTCCTCCTATCATTCTTTTTCACATGCAAATTAAAGCCGTCAACTTGCAAAGTTCTCAGTGGCTTTTATAGATATTTTACAAAAATAAATTTGGTGTCTCACGACATTAATACCATTTACGCCTCCACACTGTTCACGCTGTACTGCGAGCTGTCGTACTCGGACACGCTGTCGGAGCCGTAGCCTCCGAATCCTGTCACCGATGGTCGCACGCCGCTGGTCCTCACCCCATTATCTTTAAGCACATCGGGCACGTAGATAGGCGCTGGACCAGCGATCTCCACAATACTAGGACGCCGCGTCGCCGCACAGCGTTTAATTGGTGACATAAAAGTGAACAGTGTCAGGGTGATCGCCAGACTGATGATAAGCAGCAGGAAGCGAGCCATTCCGTCATCGCCTCGGAAGTAACATATCATGGCCATGACCAGCACTAAGATCACAACGGAGAACTTGGTCATTGTGACTGCCGTCGAGTGTATCTTTCCACCCTTGCGTGAGATCATGTTCGATGGTCCGTATGCAAAGTAGAGGTTGTGACGGTCTACAAAGTGTTTCAGGCAAATGTAAATCATTGCGAAGGGCATAATCAACGGACAGGCTACGCTATAAACAATAGCTATAGTAAAAACCAGCGTGGTCCAGGCGTAGTGTGTGCCGAAAGGAAACTCAATAAGAATAGCCTTGCGAATGTATGGTGTTTCTGCTTTCGATTTAGCCTTTAGCAATGACCAAATGTAGACAATCAGCTCCGGGAAACGCAACAGCTCCAGCGCAGTACCAATAAACGCAGCCGTAATTATGTAGTTTACGTAGAATGAGCCTCGTTCGGGCAAGAATATGCACTGCCAGCGATCAGTCTGATTGGTGAATCCCCACTCTAGCAGAGCCTGTGCCGATGTCAGTCCAAGGGAGGGCAAAATCATAATCATCATAAGCAAATAGCTAAAGCACTTTGTCATGATCGAGTAGTTTTGCTTGGAGCGCGTGTAGTGACGCATCCACTTGTCTGAAATGGCCACAATGACGGGCATTAATGCCGACAGGGTCCACAGCATTAAAGTGGGTAGGAAATCGGATACAAGCGGTGAGATCTTCCCTTCTGTTTCCTTTATCCATGGCCGGCTGTTTAGAAGGCTTACCACCATGGCCGGCGTTGACAGGAAGAAGAGTACCAAAAAGAGCACCGCGTTCACGCAAAAGAACTTTAAGTACCAGTGGCTCTTGTTCACGTTCAAGTTCTCCCAGAAGAGGTCATCTGGGGACGGAGCGAAAACCAAGCGCCATTGACGGTAGGTTCCAGGCGTGAAGTGGGTGACAATGTTCTGCGCCTCTTGCACGGTGGACACAGTGATAAACGCAATGTCCAGGGGTTCGTTCATAGTAGAAGCACGCAGGCGGGCCACGTCCCCGGATAACTTACGCTCCTCCCGCTGATAGTACTCGTAGGCGTTTTCCTTCTTGCAGGAACACATTTCCGGCTTAGCCTTTGGTAAAAAATTATATTACAGTGATTGCGTTTCATTTTTGAGCGGATAAACTCACCATCAGCGTATCTCTATTTCGGTGATGTTCGCAGTATAAACGAGCGTCGTGAACCCTCTCGAACTCGGCATTCCTTACGTATAGTCGTGAAATGTTGTAAGCTATCGACACATTCTCGATGGTGACATCCGGGAAGAGCTCCTGCATGTAGTTCCGCACCACGGTCTTGTTACGATCGCTTGAGGAGATATTCGATATCATAATGGTGCGAGTGGCTGCCTTTTTGAAAGCATTCCGTCCAGAGGCTCGCCTCATAATAAGCACCACGAGCGGTATATAGAGAATCGTTATGATAGTGTGTACCCAAAGCCAAGGCGAATCTGGTGAGAGATTCGCCATTGTGGTGCGGCCAAAAGCATTTACATCGTACGGGTTTTCCGTGGGACCGTTTAGAAAATTAACGGGCAATATAATGACCACCGAAACTATTGTTACCAAAGCCATTACGGCCATCAGATGCTGCTGAAATGACAGGTAGTGCACTGCATCAGGTCCAGTGTGCAGCAGAATGGTCTCCTTGCGCAATTTCAGCGTGACTTTGATCCAGCCAAATAGGCCCTCTTCGGGTTGAATAGGCGACAAGGGCGTGGAGTCGGCGATCACCTGGGTGGCGGTACTTGGTCTCGGCGACACTTGTGTCGAAGTGCTAGGCTGGGGATCGATTACACTAGCAGCCCGCGAATAAAATATCTCAGTCCAGCGCTTTTTACTACCATTGCTGTTGACCAGCGCAAGGCGACCAAAGTCGCCAGCCTGGTGTCGTAGGGTCGTGAACAAAAGTATCAGTAGTACCCAGAAGATGGTGTTCAGTATAAGGGTTTCTGGTATGCCATTGTAGGCGGTTGTGAAGAACGAGGTGCGATTAGCCACCGCCTGGCAGTAGGAAAGATTACTGCTGTCCGACATGACCAACGGATGAATCACTGAAAACGCAAAGAAATCAGAAGCAATTAGTTTAAAACGTTTGTGCTCGAAGCTATTGATAAAGTCTTGATAAGAGCACAGCTGATCGGCCTTTATCCAAAGTAATTACTTGTTTGTGTGCTGATAAGGCCGTGGGAAAACCGTGGGATCTAAGAACCAAATCCCTTCTGATCGGCATTTAGCCCATGCCCCCGAAACAGATTAATCTTTTTAGGTCACTCGGTCAAATGAAACGAAGTACACAGACCACAGATGCAGATGGTGGTTGGAAAAGAAATGTGCCCACAGATTAGCCTATTTAAAACTTACTGCTTTAACGTTGTACATATATACGCGAACGGTATCTTTATGAGCGAAGTCAGAAAAAACACCAACTAAGACACTTTGATTAATAAGTGAGCTTTAGAAATGAGATAATAGGCGAGTCAAACATGTTTTTGTGTGGACATGAGCCAACATGGAAAAGGGGGTGGTTGTTTGTGGGGGGAAGAAGCACTACGTCATATTGGACCACCTCTCTTCTTTCGCTTTGTCTACGAAATGAATCATCAAAAGCCAATTTTCTCTTTTGTCTGTCGCGTGGCAATTGTGAAAAATACAATAAAGGAAAACCACTCAGCGCATATACTTATTTAATTATTTTTCAGAAACCAAACGATTGTGCGTTTGTGTGCATCCGATTGTTATTCACTTTCTTTGCCCTGCTGTTACAAAACGTTTCACTTCATACCTCGGTAGAAAATTATTATTTTCAGTAACTTCTTTCGGCAAACTTTATATTAAACATCAGCTTAAATCGCTTCAATCCTTCATTAGTAAAAACAGCTTTGTGTCGTAAAAATTATATTTCCTTTTCGCACCGTCTTCACTGCATTTCGCTGGCAGTTATATTATCGAATGCTTACTATCGATATTTCGGCAGGGCTAGGGGTACTCTTCTTCATAATAATTAAAATATTATAATTTTGATAATAAAAATTTAAAAAAATTAGGGTTTTAATAATAATAAGCGATTTATGAAATTGTACAAAAAATAATAATAACAATAATATTCATATGTTATCATCATCTTAATGCAACAGCTGTAATGCAACTCTGTGTTTTGAAAACGCTGTCGTCGTAAATAAATATAGGCTTCTACTTGTTTTCGGTGTTATAATAATTTAAACAGATGTCAATCATTTTCTTTTGGCATAGTTTACGTAGTTGAGAAAGTCAATTATTTAAGAAAAGAATTAATAATTATAAAAACTTTTTGGAGTATTATTATTCTTTTCGTCTTTAACAAAAAAACCTTATTATGGTTGATTTTATTTTCAAAATTTCCATTCTCCCTGACGAGAATGTAGTTTCAGTCGGATGTCCGGGCTTTAATACCGAGTTGTTCATTCCTCAGATCGTTAGTGGAAGACTCACTCTTCAGAACATTTTACCCCACCGGCGGTGCTGTCCCGAGAGCAGGATGTTGTCGGATCCCTTGAGCGGCGTTATGGGAACAAGGACTCCAACCCGCCGCTCCAATCATAACAGCGAGCGCTCCACTCCCCTTGCCCAGAGTACTCCGGCAATGGTGCCCATTATCAATTCTCGAGGCAAAGAGAATATCAAACCGCATGTAACTCCTGAAGTAGTGCGATTCCGTCCGTTTCCGCAGGCTTCATTGGGTGAAGACAACATAAATATAATCTCCGACGACGAATGGCCTAGCCAGAAACAGTCTTCAGAAAGCATTTGCGTGACGTCCCTCGAGCCACAATTGCCGGCTTTGATTGATATCCATCCAGAGCCAAGGATCTCTCCTGGTGTAGCAGAGCTGAGGAACAACACTCCCAGGATGCCCCCCTTACGGACCTATACCCGTAAAAATGCAGGAACAACAAGCAAAAAGAAACCAACCGCCGCCTGGTCTCCTCTCCAAAAGAGGAAGAGGATAGCGTCAATATCCGCTACTAAGGTTCCGAGTCCCACTATGAAATTGGAGGTGCGACAGCGAAAACTTATTGTGGATACTAAGAAGACATTGGAAGCCCATGATCCCAGCAAATATAATCCGGTGCCGATTACAAAGAAGAAAATAATCAGAAAGCAGGTGAACGGAAAGACTCGAAAGCAGTTTGAAGCTCTAAAAGTCACTGCTTTTGATTTGCTCACCTTTCCTTGTAAGACCACTATGTCTAAAAATCTAATTAAGCAATTCCAAGGCTCTTGCATGAACAAGGTATGCACCACGTTGCCAAATTACGCAGAGATTGCTGTTGTCTCACCAATACAAACTGATCGAGAGGTGAAGACGCTGGTGGCCAGGCAGAAGCGAATGGACCATATTAACCAGAAATTTAGCGCCGTGATGTCCAAGAGCAAGGTCATCTAGAGTGAATCATCTCGGCTTTCAAACAATGCTAAACATGCATACACACATAAATGCAGATGTAATATAGGAAAACATTTCTTAATTTGTTCTCATTTTATCTTTACAAGTATTATACATTTACCAAAAAGGAACACATTCTGTCTAATATATGTACAAGTATATCTTAAGCTAGTCTAGGGAAGCCTACATTAACATTGAATAACTATTATATGATTTTGTACGACAAAACTTTTTTGTGATTGGGGGTATTATGTAGTCTCCTAAGAGCTGCGGCAGCGGAAGCAGGCCTTAAATCCCCGTTTAATGGCTCGTATATTGTGGACGACCTGTTCCTGCAGTGGAAAATGATGCATTAGATGCTAAAAAGGGCCAACTGGTGTCCTATTTACCTGCATTAGATTGAAGCACATGGCAATCACGGCCATGCCGAGAAGCAGATACATGGCGCAGAGTATGAAGCTGACCTCAACCTTATCTTTATCGGCGGTTATCTGTTGAGTAGAATTTATAAAATTAAAATCAATAATCAATTTTTTATTATAGAACATTTTACCACACGATCACCCGGCACCAGATCCCCAAATCCAATGCTGCTGAGTGATATTAGACAAAAGTAGCTGCCATCCAGATAATTCCAGTCCTCCCAACGCCCAAAGAGCAGGGCACCCCAGAGGATGTATCTGAAATCAAAAGAATCTTTTTGTGCTTTTAGCTTACCATTAAGTTGGAGTTCCTCTTACCCGACCATAACGAATATGCAGACAGTGACTGGCACTGTAATCTCATCTGTACTGCCTCGTATTTCCCTCTCAATATCCGAGTCAGATTCTGTGTACGGAATATCCACTAGGCTGGAACTCTGACGGGAACTCCGGGTATAGTCACTACTGCTGCTGTTCGAGGTAGTTGTGCTGCTGGTGCTGGAGTAACTGCTGCTTCCTCGGGCGTTCTCCATGTCGTGCATTTGGAGCTGAAACGAGATAAAGAAACTAAGAAGATATCCAACGAATGTAACGTATTCTTAACCAACCGCTCTTGCCAACTGTCGCATTTTTCGACGCTCGCGGATAATTCGGCGCTTGGCCACACCGGGACATATTCGACACAGGCAAACCTTTGAGTAAATCCACTTAAAGGATTTGGCCAGGACATCTCCGATGTTGGACAAGTAGAGCAGGAATAGCGGCATGCCAATTATCGCATACAGAATGGTTACCAGTTTTCCCCATTCGGATTGAGGGGTAATGTTTCCATATCCGATCGTCGTGATTACAGTCAGCGAGTAGAGAAAGGCACCGGAGAAGCTCCATTGTTCTACGTCGGGTCCCTTTAGCTGCTTCTTTACTATGGCCCGCTGGTAGTCCAGAAGCGCATCGTTAACCCTACAGGGATCGTTTTTAGTTAAAGGAAAACCAAAAGAATTTATTCTTACCGCTTCCTGAAGACATGGTGATCGAAAAAGCTAAAGTTTGCCGCCGTAAGCTCCCAAATGCGGTTTAGGCACTCGCCGCTAAAATTTTTTTCTATAAATCGATGGGGCTTCTCTGACTTAAGGCGCTCGTACTCGAATATCTCGATGGCCTGGAATATGAACGCACCACCGATAATATAGAATGTGACTAAAAGGATGATGCCCACATTGCTGAACATAAAGGCTGTAAAGTGGCGGCAGTGATCCTTAAAGCGCTCGAAGGCCGGCTTCTCCTTCCGACGGAAGGAGCTGCGTCGCGAGGACATGTCTTAGTGGCTCGTTTCCGTTTCGGTTTTAGTTCCGGTTCCGGTTTCGATTGACCCTCCACCCGTGTTCGCCTGGACATGCTCGGGTCTGGTACGACACTCGCACCGGTGACGATTGAAAGGATTTCCGGCTACCTATTGCTAAAAATACATCCGCGATTAGTTTACCAAATCGTGTCCCATGTGCAGAGCGGTAAATAAATAAGGCACCCTCTATATTATCAAAGTGTTTGGCGGCATAAATCTTTTTAAAGAATAAGTAGACGATGCTCTGACTTGTGTGGGTGGTTTATTTTCATGGTTTGGGATTATCACGAAATATTATGATCAATGTTCAATGCTAAGGCTGTTAAATGAATAATTATTACTAAGTTTATCCATTAATTCTAAACATGTGAAAGAAAATTTTGGGTTTTAAAATAAAGGCATACACATTGAATTGACACATTGACTAATAATTTCGTGTGAAAAATTCAAATCAATATATTTGAAAAAATTCGCATTAGCATAATTGATTATATTTGATTGTCACTAAGTTAAGCCGATTACTGCTACCCTTGAACTGTTGAAAATTCTAAAATTGCATGTAACTTATTCACTGTGACAGTTTGCAGGCATTTTTGAGAGAAGTCCAATATTTCGGTTAGCAGCATGAATGAGTTTTTATTTTTAATACAGTGTTTTGTATGTTCTCTAATAAATGGCCAACATGAACATGAATTATTGGACTACAATCTTGGCAGCTGGCCTATGGAACAGTCACATCATCTCGTCGCAACGCTACTCATCCCATCCCCACGGATCGTTTGTGTGTGGTATTTCAAATTTCTCGCGTGGCCGGTGGATGACACTCGTCTAGATTCGAGAATTGATGGCGTAGCCGTGGCGTCAAATTGGAAAGTTCCTAACGATCCTATGCGCCCCCGTCTGCGGTTGCCAAATGCTGCTTGTTTTTGTTTGGTTTTCAATCTTTTTTTAAGGTTTTATTTAGTGGGTGTGAAATACGAGTTCATTGGGGGATTATTTTTATAAACTTCTGTTCTGGATGTGGCCGACAGTCATTCGGTTGATTTGTGGCCTTAGTATTTCGCCGATCCACTATCCACGGATCTCAATCTGGTTAGCCTTGGAATATCTTCCCACCTCACGCATTCGCATAGCGTATCTTTTTTTGGAATTCTGGCAGGTACGCAGGTATATTTTTATTGATTTGCTCAATCTGGCACGCACTCGGCCAGTGGGCATAAATTGAAATCAATTTGCAATTGATGTCTGCCTTATTTACAGCCAAAAACATATACATAATTAAAAAATCCAAACACAAAACAAACACAAACTAAAAACTGAGGCCCGCCGGGTCCAAAATGTGTGTGTGGTTTTCCCAACAAAAATACACAAAACCGCGGAAGGAAAACACATTAGTGGATGATGATCATGCTTTTCGCAGGGCAAATCGATGGGGCTGACATAAAAAACATGCCCCACTGTTTATGTTTTTAATGCAATTAAGCCATGAGAGTAACGAGCACGCCCGAGACTCTAGCCAAGATCGAGCGCATTTTGTGGGCGGCAATTAAAATGCACTTCGGACGAGTTCAGTTTCTTCGGTATATTTTTGGCCAGAGGCAATAAAGCCATTTTCCGTTTGGACGTACACTCATTAGCTCGAAATGTCTGTTTCGCATAGCATCAAAATTTTTAATTATAATTGCTCTGAAAATTTCCAAGACATTCTAAACCGAATCCCAAGATTAACGAAAAAGAAAGATCAAAGGAAAAGGCGCAGGAAACGGTCAGCTAATGTATTGTATTCAGATATGCTTTAGAATCAAGGGGTCGATATAGGCACAAAAAATTAGTTTAAAATTTTTCAATATAGCTGCTATAAAGTTGATTCTTGGAAGTGGCCTTATCCCATTTTATTTACTTGGCCAATTGAGTTGCCTTTTAGTTAGCAACTAAGTTGCGTCATGTCTCTCTGTTTTTGTTTATGCGAGTTGATGATTAAAAACACACTTCAAAATGATGTTTACATGGGTATTACCTCATTACCTGAGGTGCCCTGATTTTTTCTAAAATCTATTGCCAAGTTTTTGGCCAATTTTTAGCGTCAGTTGTCAATCATTGTTCACAATCATCACAAGGCTTAGTATATATGGTAAGTACTAGTTTTTGCAGATCCTTCAACCAGCACACTTGCACAATTAATTCTTAACATTTAATTTGCCACGCCGCGAGGAAAATTGAAAGCAAGAGATGCTTAAATATGACAGACAGCCCCAGAATGTTAAGTGTCAGCGGCTACACGAGAGGAGATTTTAAAATTTAATTACGGTGAAAATTCGGTGACAATGGCGGGGCGAAAAAGTTGGCTGGCATGGAAAATAAGAAATTACGGCGACGACATCATCACCACACATTGATGGCCAGCATCCCAATTGACATGACAGATCGGCACAGAACCACCGAGACACCGAACTGAAAACGTGTGCGAGTCAAAAACTAATTTTCGAACATTGACCGCTGAATGGGAGAATTGGTTGCGTATCGAGTTGCTGCTCCTGAATGCCGGGAAAAAATGTAAAAACAAAATCAGTGTATTGAGAGATTTATGAATTCGCTATCCGGAAGAAACACAGAGAAAAAGTTAAAAAAAAAACACTGTATCGAAAGATTTATTCATTCTTTTTTCGGAAGAAAGCTCACGAAGAGCGTTTGAAAAATTATAAATTTATCTGAATACTATTTTAGTAAATGATAACATAGTTAAATTTAAAAATCTATAACTAAAGTATATAAATGAACGTAATTTCTTAGTATTTCTCGCTGTGCACAAATTGAAACGTCAAAAAATATTTTAAAATTATTTTAGACACAATATGGGATGTGTTCAATTAGATGCCTATTTAAAATATCTTTAGAAAACTTTAATGGTTCATTCAGAAAAATCTATTTATTGAAAAGATGATTGATTAAGGAGGAACACTTGAAAATGTTTGTAGTTTCAATTTGAATTCTGATTGATAAACACTCAAAAAGGTTTTAACATTTTGTTAAAAAGTTTTCATCTAGAGGATTTTAATATATATTTCAATTTTGAATATCATTTTAAAATAATAGTTTACTATAAAGTTTTTAAGTCTCAAGGGTAAAGTTCACTGGTAATTTTAAAGGATCACGAACCTGTTTATTATTTCAGTTTGTTGATGGGAATTATGATGCTATTAATGCTCCTTGCCAGATGCTCACCCGTGACGTCATGAGCGGCGAATCGGCTGGCTGGCAATTGTTGTTGTTGTTGTTTTTGTGTCTGTTGGATCTTCGAACGCTCCGTTTATTTTAGCAGCTGATGTATTTCCGAACTATGCATGTGGAATATTATTTATGTTTGCCCGCTCTGTATATTGTTTTATCAGTGTTATTCAACGCACGCCATGAAATTCCTGCACTAAGCTATTTTACAGATTTTCCCGAGAGAGTTTTTCCATATCCCGAATCCGGTTGATCTGCATAGAATAACTTCTTGGCTTGTTTCGCGTGCCTTGTTTATTTTTAACCGCACCACACTTGACTTCATTTAGCCATCACCATCACCCAACCCGCCCGTTTTCCGATGCCGAATGCCAGATCCCGGAGCAAGTGCCTCATTCGCCGGCCGTGCGCGCTGCTCGACGTTCCGCTGCCCACTAAAATCCGTACTCGGACCCGTATTTATAGACGGCTGTCTTGACGCGCTACCTGTGACGTCGCTGCGCTCCATTGTTGAATACGGAATGGGGATCGGCGATCTTTCGCCACAGAGAGAGGAATTCCACTCTCCCAGAGATCAGATCGCAACGAACTACGAATGCCCTATATGTATATTTGAAAACCTTTTTTTTTAAACAATTTATTTATTTTTCATATTGGTTTTCATTCTACTACACAATATAATATTTTAAATTTATGAAAATTGACCGAAAACATATAAAAATATTTACAAGGCCTATTTAATCTTGGACTTAAAGCCATTCTCCATCAGCGGTGCCACATCCTTGGGATCGCGGCTTCTCGTTTCCGGCAGATACCGACAGGTCAGAAAAAACCCATAAATGCAGAACACGACACATATAAGAAAAGCATATGGTCCTATGGCCGAGTTCAAGGTGGGAAAGACCATGTTGAGGAGAAAGTTAGCAAGCCAGTTGAAAAAACTTCCAAAGGCCATTGCTGAAGGACGCGGCGGTGATTCGAAAATCTCTGTGGAGTCGAAAGAGATAAGCTATAAACCGGATATCACGATGGATGTCAACCTGATCCAATGAAATATGGAATGGGCCCCAGACCCAGGTTAAAAGCAGCGATATACAGAGACAGGAAGACAATGCATCCAATTGAAAACTCCTGAATGGATAACTGTGGATGGATGGGAACGTAATCAGATCAGATACCAATAAGTCAGATATATACAATCAAACCATAAGTTGTAGACCAACGATCAGCAGGGCCAAGAAGATGGCGGACAAAAGGCACGAGAGCATCATCAGTAGGCGTCTGTCAAACCTCCTCATCAACAAGGGACCCGAAAGGGCGATTAATAAATTCTCGCATCCTAAAGTGAAGTTAAGCCATAAAGCAACCTTCGTAGAGAATCCAGCATGGGTGAAAATATTCACAGAATAAAACCAAATCTGGAAGAATGTAGGTTGTGATATAATATGTTACATATATTTTGGGTAAAATCACTCACCGCACTGATGCCGCTCATCTGCTGGACGAAATGAAAGGAGCTTACGATGATCAGTGGCATCTTGAACTTACTGTTGCCTAGGACTTGCCTTAAGGTCACCTTTTGAGTCGTCGCCTCGGACGCGACTTCAAACTCCGCCATCTCCGCATTTACTCGTCCTTCATCCCTCCGTAGACGCATTAGAGCCACTCTGGCCTTTTCCTTCTTGCCCTGTGACATTAGGAAGCGAGGACTCTCCGGGAACCAAAAAATGGGTGCCAATCCTACTATCACAAATATTCCTGAAGCGCCCAGAGCATAAGGCCATAGACTCTCAGTTCCGAGAAAAAAATCAAAGCTAAAAATTTGACCCAAAACGATTCCTCCGGTGATCCCAATGCAGGTAAAGACACCCACACTGCCACTTAGTTCCACTGGGGCCAACTCCACCAAGTACATGGGCTGGGTGGCGTAGATCAGAGCGGCAGCCAGTCCTGCGATCAGACGACCCAGCAGCAGCATCTCGATGGAGTTGGCCATCCGGCAGAAGAGCTGACAGATGCAGGACACCAGCATTAGTAATCCACTGAGCGTCAGAATTCCTCGACGTCCTAAGCGGGCATTAAATAGGGGGGCAAATGGGGTCCCCATCATGCCGCCAATTAGGAATATGGAGACCACAGCCGACATCATTATAGTTATCTGAGAATCACCCAGCCGCGATGAATACCGGGTTAGAGCCGACTCCATTATCCACGATCTGATGAACTAGAGGTGCTTTTTAGTTAGCAAATATAATTGGTAATCCTTCGCATGACCCACCACAGATGGAGCATTTACCACGCCAAATGCATAGCCGATGGGAATGACGCTGCCCACGGTGATGCACACGCAGATGAGCATCAACAGGGCCGTCCAGCCCTGCTTTCCATCGGCCATACCAAAATTTATATTTTTCAAAATCGATCCAAAATATTGACAATTAAAAACGGCCAGTTTTATAATTCCTAAAGTCTGGAATCTTTAGCATACTTTAGGGCTATTCACGAACAAATTTGGGTGTTAAAAATGAGAATATAAATAAGGTAGAAAGAGTAGTTTACTTTTTACGAAAGACCAGCTTGTTTTATGTTATTCTCTATGAATAGTAAGTATGACATATCAGTTACGTTTGGAGGCGAGGCCGTGGCTCATCAGTGGCTTGACATCCTTGGGCTCCCGTCCACGTGTCTCCGGAAGGTAACGCCAGGTGAGCAGCAGGCAGTAGAGGCATACGCACATGCATGGGATGAAGGCAAAGGAGCTCCAGACACTCTGGAGCAGGGGAAAGCACATGCCCACCAGGAAGTTGCCTATCCAAGAGAAAAGACTGCCCATCGACATGGCTACAGGTCGAGGCGAATCCTCAAGAAGCTCTAAACAAATATTTAAATATTAACAAAAACTATTTTCATGTTAATTTACAAACCTGATCCGATGAAATAGGCAATGGGACCCAGGCCGAGCTGGAAACCCAATATAAATGTGAGGATAAAGAAGGCACAAAAATAGGTAAGGACAGTAGAACCAGATCGCTCCAGAAAGAATAGACCCAAGGACATGGCCAGCAGAGCCAGAGCACACATGGAACAAGAAATCATCATCAAAGGACGGCGGGGAAACCTGCGAATTAATAGTGGCCCTAGAAGAGATGTACACAGGTTAAAGCCTCCTATTCCTAGGTTCAACCAAGTGGCTGCCCCTTTCGAGAAACCAGCATCTGTTAGAATGGAGAGGGAATAGAAGAATATCTGCAAGATAAATCCAATAATAATGCCAAACTTATTTCAAACTTTGTACCTTAAACTTACTGCATTGATGCCACTAAGTTGCTGGGTTGCCTGGAACGAGCAGACCAGTAGAAGTGGCAGCCACAATTCTCTATCCCCTAGAACGGAACACATAGAGCTTGATTCAGAGTTGGCTTTGGTCTCCAAAGTGGCTTTCATTTCGAGGAGTTCCTGACGCACATCCTCTTCAGCATTCTTTCCACGTAAACGTAGTAAAGCTTGCTCACTGGCGGCGGAATCTTGCTTTTGTAGATAAAGCCATCGAGGACTCTCAGGAAACCACCAAAGGAGCAGAAGCGAGGCCAGGACCAACAGGCTGTATAAGCTAAGGGCATAAGGCCATAGTCGCTCGTTGCCCAGCAGGTGGGATAGAGTGAACACCTGGGCGAGCATAATTCCACCTGTTACACCGATGCATGTAAATACTCCAACGCTACCACTAAGCTCAGAAGGAGCCAACTCCAGTAGGTACATAGGTTGAGCGGTAAAGATTATGGCGGAGGCGATACCGCCCAGAAAACGACCGGTTATTAGCATTTCCAGGGACTTGGCTGCACGACACCAGTTGAAGAGAATGCCGGAGACCATGAGCAGCACACCGCTAATAAGCAGACAGCCTTTACTGAAAGCAAAACAAAGGATATTTTGTCATGACCCAAAAATCAAGGATTCCTTACCGGCCATATTTGTCGCTAAGAAGAGCACTAAAGCAAGAACCGATGATGCCTCCAATCAGATAGATGGACACAATGCTCGTCCAGAGGATGTCCAGCTGGCTGGCAGTGACGATGGTATCGTATTCGGTCGCCAAAATGTCCTGGCACCATTTCTTAATGATCTCGGCTGGAGAGTTAAGGACCCCGAAAAAGTAGCCCACCGGAACCGTGGTGCCCAGCGTTACTGTCAGGCAGATGAGCAGCAGGAGAGGTGTCCAACCATTCATCCTGGGCGGAGTCACATGCTAGAACAAGAGCAACGAGATTTACACGATTAGCACTTCGAATCTTGCGCAAACGAAAGACTTAAGCAACAAACTTGTCCCGGATGAGGGAGAAAGTGTAAAGAAGTAGTAGAAGCAGGGAATCACCATTACAACAACCATGGCGATGGATCGATGCTGGCACGCCGAAAGCTAAACCGAAAGTGATTCGCATCCGGCGGTTCCCTCAGTGCCAATCGATGACTTGTTGAGTCATTCGCCGCGCTCGTATATCAATCATATAAACACATCTTCACATTGCTTGCTCCGTATTCCAAATACGTTTACAGCACATAACCGGCCATAGATAAATTCAGACTTTTTGTCTTACGAATACTTGTTTTCTTATCATTGACACGGGAGCGTTTGTTTGCTCTAACTACTAGCTGTGAAATGTAAGTCAGTAGTTCTATACTCTTACGAATTTCATCAGGAAGCTTTGGTCTTGAGAAAAACTGGTTTTATTAACCTACACATAAGCATAAACAATATCAGATTAAGCGATATCTAAGAATATTTCTTAAGCAGTCAAAAATAATTTGGCAAAACGCTGGCATTTAATTATCTAATCCAACGCCGTGGAAGAGCATCCAGTTATTGTTCCACGGCGCTTTTAGTTCAACAATAAATCTAATTAACAGAGTATTACTTTGCGCTTCGTCCCAAGGCGTTTTAATTGAACTTGTGCATAACTTGTGATAAGGGGACGGAGCGCTAAAAGCTTTCTTACAGGGTGACTCTTAAAGTTAGATCCATTTTCATTTATTGGTTTGTACAAAAAAGAACTTACAAACTAGGCGGGAAATTACAATTAGTTAGAGCAATTTGACCCTGAACAATGTGGACTCCGGCTTATTGTCGGCTTTTACAAAAGGCACAAGACTTGGACGAATCATTGAGTGGCCAGTGACCCCCCATGCCATTGGAGTTAAAACCTATTACCACATATCACCGGCTACTTAAAACTAATTGTAAGTTGAGACCTCTCTGGGCAAGGCATCATTTGACCTTCGAGCGGAAGCCTTTTGATACAAGAGGTGCCACTTCGGAGGGATCGCGTCCTCGTGTTTCCGGTAGATAGAATTTCGTTAGCAGGAAGAGTAGCACACATGTAATGGAGAAGGGCAGGAAGACAAAGGCGCCCCAAGCGTTCTGCAGCAGCGGGAACGAGATGCCAATTATGAAATTGCACGTCCACGAGGCAAGACTTCCCATCGACATGGCTACGGAGCGGGGAGCCACCTCGAAAAGTTCTGCAAATTAAAGAACACAAATCAAATTAGTTTAAAGTCTAAAAATAAAACAGCCATTCAATTAGAGAGTCACTGTGTCTGGGAACGTTTCTGATAGCCGTAAACAAATGTGTGCTGAGCCATTGAACCCGATTCGATTCCAATTCCGTCTCAATTGCTATATCACTTCTTCGAAACACGAGCAGCTGTCCCAGTCACGATTAGAATAGCTACTGAAACGCTTATAAATAATGGAGTCACGCGACACATTACCTGAGCCTATGAAGTAGGGAATGGGACCCAATCCAAATTGATAGAAGAATATGTACCCCATGATGCAGACGATGCAGGCAATTGCAAACCAACTGACTTGATCCTATAAAAGATATAATTCAAAGTTAAGTTGAAATAAAGACAATTAAGAAGAAAACAAAACTCACAATATAGAACAAGACAAAGGCAATGGTGAATAGGAAGACGGAGCATAGGGCGCAGGAGAACATCATCAGTGTTCGTCTATTGCAGGTTGCCATCAGCCAGGGTCCAAACAGAGATACGGAAAGATTTAGGCAGCCAGCACCCAAATTGGCCCACTGGGCATTCACTGTGGACAATCCAGCTTTCTCAAAGATGCTGACCGAGTAATAAAATATCTGGAAAAAACAAAAATATTTAAATAATAATAATCATAAAATAGAGAATACCTTAACTTACCGCATTAATTCCCGACAGTTGCTGACCACCATGGAAACAGCAGACAATGATCAGAGGCAATGTGAGGCGAGGATCGCGCAGCACATCGCAGAAGCTGCTAGTCTGAACCTTAGCATTTGCCTCAGCCTCCATCTCCGCCATCTCTTGACCGATTAGCTCATCCGCATCCTTGCCACGAAGACGTTGAAGCTCCCTCCTGGCAGCCGCACGGTTTCCCTTAACGATGTACAAAAACTTTGGACTCTCTGGGAATAGGTAGGATGGCAGGTAGCAAACGATGATCAGAACCATGTATGCGGTCAGTGCATAGTGCCACAGATCCTCGGTGCCAAAGACATCAGCCAGACTGCAGACCTGACCCACTACGACGCCTCCAGTCACTCCCACGGCTATGAATACGCCCAAAGTGCCGCGCAGAGCCAAGGGAGCCACCTCGGATAGATACATGGGCAGAGTGGCGGTCACAAGGCCGGAAGCCAGGCCTACAATAAACCTGCCAATCACCAACATCTCCACGGAGCTGGCTGCTCGGCAGAAGAAGAAAAGGACCGCTCCCACGGTGAACAGGGCCCCGCAGATGAGAAAGCATGCTTTTCTGAAAAAGATAAGGGAATTATTTATTTATTACTCAAAAACTGGTATGTTTCATTTATAAAGATTCATATCAGCGGAACTTATACAAAGATGTATGGTGTTGTGTAATATAAACTTAGTTAATACTATTAACTATTAGAAAACAAAAATTAGATTTATTTTTGCAATACTATAGATTTAACTACGTTTTCTTGGCACTAGAGTGTTCACCCTTTTGAAACTTGCACTGTAAATAATTGTTATGGCATAATACCCGCCACTTCTGAATGGCTTATATTGATATATGAATTAGTTGCGGGATTAGAGGCACTTGAGAAAATCCAAAGGTGCTTATCTGGTTGATTAATAGCTACCTGCCGAATTTATTAGCCGCACCAGCACCGCCTAGCGAACCGATGGCGCCGCCGACCAGGAACACAGAAACAATGCACGACCACAAGAGATCCAGACCGCCCGGACTGAGGTTGCTGCCATAGGTGTCGTGTAGGGTCTGATTACACCAGACTTTCATTAGCTGTAAAGATAAAGATCGTTTTGATTCCATTGAGCGGCTAACTAGCTACGGATATCTTACGTTTGAGGGGGCATTGATAACACCAATGCAATAGCCGGTGGATACAGCGCCGCCAAATGTGGTTGCCAAGGCCACCAGCAGGAGGAGTTTGCCCCATCGCGGTTTCTGCAAATGTTTCAAGCATAATAAGTTATATTGCAAAAACCACTTCCCTTAATCGTGTTTTAAATTTGGACTCTGATAGTGATTGAGTGCGTCATTGTGCGGGGTCATTTCGAAATTCAGTTGGGGGTTGGCCTTATCAGAACTTTTTGATTAATTCTAGCTTTGTCATAATCTGTATAATTAACGCTAATTACCGCTAATCTTGACCCAAGGGCAAAACTTTCCATTTCTTTGCTATGACATTTGGGTTCAGCTGCTATTAAACAAAATACTATTTATAATACTATTTATGAGCACAATGTTCTAATCGAATGAATATCCGCAAGCGGTGTCTCTTTATAACTGATAAGCAATGGCTGAGAACTCAGCTGATTATACACACTGGGAGATCGGGCTGTTTGCCAAAAAAAAACCCCGGTACGTACCAAAGTTCTCGTAAACAATAGAGGTCAAAGATACAGTACTAAACACATTCCGTAAATTAAAAAAAGTGTTAAGTTTACGTTTTAAGTTAGAAGCTTTAAAACATACTAAGCTATTGCGGACTACGGATTCTTAACTCTTCTGTATGTAATTATTCTTTTAAAAAGTTTGTATATGTATAATCTAAAATATACGTAGATTCCAAACTAATCATTTCTTTCTTTGTATTTTAATTTCTTATCAAAGTTTTATCAATTCTTAAAAAATGAATCACAACATAAAAAAGTTTGGATATTTCAAAGCTTTTAGAAATTACTTATCTCATTTCATCTCTGAATAGCTTTAAAATTCAAAAGGAAATAAATATATAAAATTTTGTCCGCCACTGTATGTACATATATAACCCAATGTCAACATAGGTTCCACTGTATATGAATCAACCATATGCTAATGCGTTGATTGTGCATGTGTATATAAATCTATATAGTCGATTTTCAAAACAACTAAGAAAGAAAAAAAATATATACAATACATATACTATTCAAGTAAATTTACACACAAAAACAAGAAGAGAGTACAAAAATATTAAAAATAAAATGCGTGAGATAAAAGAAATGAAAACAGCATCCGGAAAGAGAGAGAAAAACAACGTCATAGAGAGAAAACAAAGGAAATGTGCATGTGCAGATACAGTCCAAAGAACAACAACATCGTTATATTGGTGGTAGGTAGTTCAGCGATCTTCCAGCTCTCGCTCTCACCTGAACTATCGCATCTGGAATCTCACCTGGTCGGTTTCCGTTTGGGTCGTTAGCAGTTCCACTCTTGTGGGCTGTGGGTACAATTGCTGGGCCTCCGCCAGCTCACTTTTGTTAGCCATAATTATGGACTTTGATGGGCTATTACCACTTTATTTAAGGGAACACTTTTTAAGGCACTGGAAACGGGAACACTCACGTGTAATGCGTGCGTGTTAACACAGTAAGAACAATTGCTAACAATTGGCGGTAAGATAAGTTAATGTATTCGAATCAGTGTTGTGTAACGGTAAGCGTATGTGGATTTTTAATTCCCGATCCCAACAATTTGGAATCACAATTGTTTGTAAACGGCGCACCGCCAGCAGTGCACGCGGGGATAAAATATGGACCGGAGCGTTATGGTTTGGCAGCGTTGGAGTCGGAAACGCGACTAAATGCCAGCTGAGCGGCGTGGTTGGTGGAGAAAGAGCTTTTGCTAGGAACGAACAACAGCCAAAACAAAGTTATGGTTGCCGGCAACCGATAAACTCAAAACAAGAAGTGCACCCCAAACATTTAATACCCTTGAAAAAATTTAAAAAAAATAAAAACATTTTTTTGGCCAATTATTATTTTAGGAGTTTTCGTGTTTTGGGAACAACTATCTATAAATATGAAGATTGATAGCTTAGACCTACTTTTATATTTTTTACCAAAAACTTTTCCAACGTTTCCTTTTACAGTTTCCAACTTCATTCATTATTTTTCATTTTGATCTGCGTTTTGTTTTAATAATAAATTTTATTTACCAAGTTGAAGTGTAAAATACAAACATTAAGATAAGAATCTGATTATCAAAAAAACCGATCTAAATATTATATTCTTTGCAAGGGTATAAAAAGCTCTTGCCCGCGTACTGTTGCCAGAGTTTTAACTTAAATGAGTTAGCTGTTGGTAGCAGCTAAGCTAAGCGCTTAAAATTAGTATAAATTATTAATAACTAATTTAAAGAGAGCAAAAATATTAATTAACATAAGTGTTTGTTGGTACTTAAATATTTAACAAATTGTTATCCAACAAACTTTACTTCATGGCTTCTGGCATCATTGCCTCACATATGCTTTTTAAATTGCGCGCGTTATATTTTTATCGATAAGAGGTTTTCAGAAATGGCAGTTGTAAAGAGACCTATGTAAAATATGAATATTTGTTTTTTTACGCACCCCATTATCTTAATTCATTATGGCTTGTATCTGTATTTCGTAATTAGTAAGTAAGATGTTATAGAATTATTTATGTAATATATTTTCGTGTTGTGTTAACAAGCCTTAAGGTGCAACCATCACTAGAGCTAAGTGTCACCTCTACGTCTTCGACCAGCTGTTTAATTTTTTGTTGACGTTGTAGTTGGAAGCGTAGCGTCTCTTACCACCGCTTAAGTTAAGTATAAGTTATTAAGGAGATCGTTCGATATGTCGGCGGTGGCCTATGACTCCCTGCTGTCCACGACGGCGGTGATCAGCACCGTCTTCCAGTTCCTCTCCGGCGCGTAAGTTATCGAACTCTCAAAATGCATTAGGACAGGCACTATTTAATAACAATTGTTTGCGTTACTTGCAGCATGATATGCCGAAAGTACATACAGAAAAAAAGCACAGGCGACTCTTCCGGAGTTCCCTTTATATGCGGTTTCTTATCGTAAGTAGAAACTGCCGACATGGCACTACTGAGATAAATTGAAATTTGTCTCGGTTGGCGACCCGACTTGGTTGGCGTTTTATTGGCTACCCACATAAAAAGGAGCGGGGTTTGTCTTAAAATAGGATGGCTTTAAACATAAATTATCTGTGTATTGAACGACTACCAATATATTTTGATGATAAGCTAGAAATTATTTTAAAATTCCTTGTTTCTTTGAAACACTTAAATTTCAAGATCCACCACGATTTAGGTAACCTCACATTTTCTAATATGGATTATTTAAAGAAACCGAAAACAAACAGTATTCATAGTTAGTCCCTGCACCACTATAATATGTCCACTAATTGTGGGAACATCGACTGCTTGGTTGGCAATTTTTCTTGTTTTGGCGTTTAACATGTTTTTATGAATTGAAATTTATTTATACAGGTGCAGCTTTTGGTTGCGCTACGGAGTCTTAACCAACGAGCAGAGCATTGTGCTGGTCAACATCATTGGATCGTCGCTCTTTTTGGTCTATACGCTTATATACTATGTGTTCACCGTCAACAAACGTGCCTGTGTCAAGCAGTTTGGATTTGTTCTGGTCGTGTTGGTATCGGTCATTCTGTTCACGAATCAACTGGAAGATCAGCGCGATCGAATGATACACGTCACAGGTAAGAGCACGTTTTCGGAGCTATTTCAACAAAGTCATGTTTTCTAAATTTCAAAACATTTTTACAGGGATAGTTTGCTGCATCGTAACTGTTTGTTTCTTTGCCGCCCCGCTGGCTAGTTTGCTGCATGTGATACGGGCGAAGAACTCGGAGAGTCTTCCCCTGCCCCTGATAGCCACGTCCTTTTTGGTCAGCTTGCAGTGGCTAATTTACGGAATACTGATATCAGATTCATTTATCCAGGTGACCCACTTCCCACGACTTACTGGCCAGACAGTGAATTACTGACAGTGGCAATTGTTTGCTTTGCTTTTCAGATACCCAACTTTTTGGGTTGCATATTGTCTCTGCTGCAGTTGGGTCTGTTTGTCCTATACCCGCCGAGGAGTTACTCCGGTCATGGCTACAAGCTAGTCGAGCAGGCGGTGCCGTTTTAGAGAACTAATCGGCCACTGCCGCGCATTTCGCTTTGGCATCGGAGCGTGTCGCATTCAGGATTTATATTTTAGTATAACTTTATGGTCGAACATGCCGCTTGCTTAGACGCCAAGCTTATTTACTATAGACATACGTAATAGTAAGCCTATATTTATTGTAAAGTATTTATTAAACCCCGAAGATTTGCCTCGAAAATGCGACTACTTACATTGCTTTGTTGTTCGATGACGCCCATTATTTAAATGTAACTTCCGGAACTTGTTTAAAAAAACAAAACACAGAAAACGATTGAGTAACAGAAACTCTTGTTGATTCGATCTGATAGTAGATAAACACAAAACCCCGAATTCGATTTAGCGCGGTCTGAACAGATTGCGAGCGGATTGCTGACTGTGGGAATAAAAATAAGTGAACCCAGTGCACTTTGCTGGATTGCGGTCAATGGTATCGATAAGCTGATATGCTGATATTCCAGGTCATAAACTTTTGAATTAAGCGACCGTATATTGGCTGTTTTGCACCTCTGATTTAATGAAAGTGTTCGTTGGTGCGGGGGTGATGTCTGATCAATGAAAACGGTTTGGCTAAATTCAATAATTGTCCTTATCGGCATGCGTGAAATTAACCAACAAACATTCACTCAGATAAAGCGGTAATCTTTATTTGGCCCCCAGAAAACTCCCAGCATCGATAAGCTAATTTTTTTGGGGGCGGAAATGATTAAGTGGGATCATAAATATTTTTTTTTTTTTTAAACTTAAATTTGAACCTAGAGACTGTTACTAATTCAATATTTACCAATACTGGTTTGGGGGTTTAACAACTCCTGGTGGTATTTTTTTCCCCCCCAGAGCTACGGCCACACTGCCAAATCTTTGTGAATCATTGTTTTTCTTTAAAACAAATAGTATTCTAGCAAATAACAGGATGCAGGATCAGAGTCCCGAACTCTACGAGGAGGTCAAGCTATTTCGCAATGCTCGTGAGCGCGAGAGGTACGATAACATGGCCGATCTGTATGCGATTATTAACACAATCCAGCAGCTTGAGAAGGCTTACATACGCGATTGCATTACGCCGCAGGAATACACGGCTGCGTGTTCCAAATACCTGGTCCAGTACAAGGTAGCTTTCAAGCAGGTGCAGTGCGACGAGTTTCCATCAGTGGAGACGTTCGTCAAAAAATTCCGCCTTGACTGCCCTGCAGCATTGGAGCGTATCCGCGAGGACCGACCCATTACCATACGCGATGATAAGGGCAATACCTCCAAGTGCATCGCCGAGATTGTGTCGCTGTTCATAACCATCATGGATAAGTTGCGCTTGCAGATTAACACCATGGACGCCCTGCAACCCGATGTAAAGGATCTGGCGGATAACATGAACCGATTGTCTCTGATCCCGGAGGACTTTGATGCCAAGCTGAAGGTTGAGAAGTGGCTAGGCAGCCTGAATGAGATGCAAGCCTCTGATGAGCTAAGCGAGGGTCAGGTGCGTCAGTTCCTCTTCGACTTGGAGTCGGCGTATGCGGACTTCAACAAGCTGCTGCACAGTCAGTAGGGGACAATTTCTCATTGTTTACGTGTATCTTTAAATATAAATAGCTTATTCCGAATTAAACAAGTTTTATATGTACCTAAATAATAGTTTTTCTTACTATTTTTTAAAGTTAATGATGAAATCGTTTGTCATCCTTACTTTAATCAAATAAAGATTAATGAAATTAATTAAGATGGAAATGAAATACGTATTCGACATTCGACTTTAAAAACGTAAAAACACTTTTTCATCGCAAATAATGTTTGAAATGGCCCAGATTTTAAATACATTCCATTCCTCTCCCATCAAACATTCCAACAAATTTAAGTAAAGTACGCGAAGGTATTTCCTCTTTTTTGCATTTTGTTTGGATTTAATCGTATCTTCTTTTTTGTATTTAGTTTAAATATTAAGGTTATAATTATACATATAAGTTTAAACCGATTACAATAATTAATTTTTGTTTGTTTTGTTTTTTCTCATTCACGTTATGTTTGTGGTTTTGTTTTCTTTAATATATATACTTGTATTTTTTAATTTACTGTTCTGCTCTTTCCAGTTTCTCTCTTATGCTCTTAAATCTGTTAAATCGTTTTACGCCTTTAATAATTAATAATTGTTACTCTTTATCTTTGTAAATTTATTTGTATGCAATGTGAAAATGGTACTTGGTATATTTATGCGGATGTTGCTGTATGTTTCGTTTTATTTGTTTCATTCTTTGTTGTGTGTGAGGAAGTGGTTGGTGTTAAGAGTCGCCTCCTCCCACCTGAAACACCTCCATGCTGTGTGTGTTTTATCTATGCGAGTGTGGTGTTTGTGTTTTGTTTTGTGGCTGAGAGGGAGGAGGGAGGCGTGGTCAGGACGCTGCTGGGCGGCGCCTTTACAGTGCGTTCGTAGTAAAAACGTTTCTTATTAAGTAAAGTATGATCGCTTATCTTCGTATATTAGATAATCCCCATCCGACGCTGGCGAGGAATTCTCGCTCCCCGCCCCGTCGACGAGTACTTGTTGTTGATGTTGTTGTGGCGGCGGTTGCTGCTGCTGCGGTTGCTCCTTGACGAGCATCAGTAATTGACCGGGAATACTCGGCATCGCCGATGTCGTCGTCACTATTGGTGCTGATGGCGTGGTGGTGGCATCTATAGTCGTTGTTGTATTGCTGGCTGCTATTGTGGTTACTAACGTGTTGGTGGCGTGTGTGATGGGCAGCGCTCGGAGATTGCTGGCACTGTTTTTGCTGTATATGTGGTGAATGGGCGTGGTGGTTGTGGTGGTGCTGTTGCTACTGCTGCGAAGGCTATAGAAGTCGCTCGCTCGGGCGATCTGCAGGGGCCGCCAGATCGTGTTCTCCGGAAGCTAGTTCTGTCCGGTCCAGTACGAGGGCGAGTAGCCTTGCTTGCCAGCAGACTTTGACTGGCTTGTCGACTGCTGACGCTGTCCAGCACTGTTCGAGTCCTGTAAAAGATATGGATGGTGATCAGTAAATACCAAAATAAATCCTGGACTGATTGATGCTGCTGCCATCGCAAGCAGAATAATCCGCTTCTTTCGGCCTCAACTCGGCCATCCATACACAAATGTGGGTTAACAGATAGAGCACACATAGTTATAAATAAAAATATTCGCTGATTATATACACGGCAGACTTATAGTAAAGTATTGGCACATGAATGGATATGCTTCTGATTACAGCACGACCCCTTTTGGCAAACGATTCCTTCTTTTCGGCGCCGCTTCTGTGGGATTCATGCAACTAGAGACTAGATGATACAAAACAAGATGTGATGAGAAAGATTACGTGTGGGTGAGGCATGCGTGGGTGGGTTAGCATTGTGCAGTTCACCAAGGATAAAGCAACTTTACACATGATTACAACAAAAGGAACTTACCCGGCGGGATGAGCTATGAATCCTGCCGTCCATCTAATTGTTGTCCCATAAAAAAATCAAAAGAAATTATAAAGAAAAGTCAAACAATAGAACAGTTTCATGCATTTCACAATTCTTTCTCACTACGGTCTATTTCATTCCGAAAAATAACTTCCCTAGGAGACTAAGCTCCCTGCTGATGAAGATGCTTTAAAAACAATATCAAAAAATCTTAAAATGCATGAAATGTAATTTGTTAGTAACGATCACAGGTGAAAACTAAAGGTTTTAATAATGAACACAAATAAGAATACTTTAGGTGAGTTTTACAGGAAATGTGTGTTAGTAAACGTGATAAATAATGCACAAGAACAAGTTTAGTTAGATGTACAATGTAAAAAATATACCAATACATGCTGTAGGTTCAACAAAATCAAATTGGAAGCTGCAAAGGAAAAGAACAGTGTTATTGGCACATCCATGATATATGTAAGTGTGGGTGTTAAGTGCTATTACAGACATAAACCAATAGTTTGACTAAGAAAACGAAAATAAAATGTTGTGGTGAGTGGTAATCTACGAATGGTGCAAACTGAAATTTGTGTGTGAATTAGAATGAGATGAGATGCCCTAAGTACTCCATCAGTCGGCAAAGAAGGATATACCGCTGACATCGTCGATATTCTGCTCAATGTCATTGCAACTAGCGACGACACGCTGATCGGGACACGGGACAGGGTCGGTTTGCCAGATCTGCTGATATGTAATTTGCTGACCATTTTCATGGATAAGGACATGGCTCTCCACCCCACCGCCTACAACAACATGAATTGGTATTTCGGAATGTACCTGATGGATGGGCTGATGAATCATATTGTGGTGTCCGGCCGCTGGCATGGGCAAGAACATGCCGTACGGTTGGGCCGAGGTACCGCCAGCCGTCTGCGTGTTCGGCATATTGAAAGGCGGCGGAGTGCCCGAGTGGAAACTCTGCTTTTCATAGGACTGTAATAAGGTAAAATGCAAAGATCAATTATTAACAAATCCGTAAAAATTGTTTTAACCAGGGCTGTGAATTGTTTTGTTTCTTACTTTAATAGTGGCACAATAGTGCCATGTTCTCAATGCCACAAATAAAAAAAACATTCAATGGCGTTATTAATCAGGTTTAAGAGATCCTGCATGTTACTCCACAGCCCTGCTTATAACCATACGTACATTAACCTTGTTCAGCGCGACGTGTCCCTTTCCGTACATAGACGAGGTCAGATCGGATCCAGTGCCTGTCTGCGACTGGTTGGAGACCGCCTGCGTTTTGCTCTGCTGGTTAACGCTCGACGAGTAGCCGCCCTTACTGTAATCCGGCGTGGTCTGCGAGAGGGTGTCATAGCCGGTCGAGCCGTAGCCCGCGCTATACGAAGGCTTCGGGAACTGTTGACCGGAGGCAGTGTTTGCTGCCGGTATTTGCTGCTTTTATAAACAAAAATTAAACGATATAAGCACTTACATGAAATATAGTGTAGTGTTTAAACTTACTGGATAAATGGCGGGAGTGCCATATTGGAAACTACCGGGCATCACATTGCCGCCATAGAAGTAGGCATAAGGAACATTCAACATGGGCGCACTCGAGCCCGCCTGTTGTGACATTGTGCTGGAGACCTGGGAAATATACTTGTTTGACTAGCGATCCTCAAACTCTCAATATCTCAACTTACATTGCCAACCGGACTGGAGTTATTGTCAGTGCGAGCAAAGCGTCCGTCATTCATGGCGGAATACGTCACAGAGCCGAGGTTATCGCGTCCAGCAGTTCCTAAACTGGCCGGCGGATAGTTCAGATCGTAATACCCTTGCTGCAACCAAAAATAATTAAATTAATATGTTATCAACGTAGCAGATAGTTTGTGTTATAATGGCTGTGAAGACGATGGACCCAACTTTGTCAGACTTTAAGCATCCTGCAAGGTCTGAAAAAGTTACGTGCCCATCCCAAACGAAATGAAATATGTTTAAGTAAATGCAATAAATTTATACACAAGTCAGATGTAAGTTTACAAAATTAAAAACAAAAAAACAATGATTACGAAATCGAATGAGTTAGGAGCGTGAATAAGTTAACAGATTGAAAAGTATTAAGAAATTCAAGAAAAACATAAATTATAACAGAGTACAGGAGAAGTAGGATTAGTTGTTGGTTAATTTGGATAAAGCAGAGCCTGGAGGATAAGCAATACATATGGATGATTTCTTTTTTGATGATGAGTATGATAATGCCGGGAATGTGGAATCTGGATGGAAACGGAAGCGGATGGTTCAAACGAAATTAAAGTGCAAGGTGGCGAAAGAAAGTGTCAGCTTATTACACAATCACACACACACAAACAGACACAGACATGTAGGAGGTGGTGGTGTTAAGGACTTGATCACAGACATCGCGGTAATGTTATTATGTACAAATGTACGTTGAGAAACGGTTATAAAAATGGAAGGCCGCAACGTCAACGAGCCCGGATCCGGAAGAGCGATCTTTTATATAGCAGCAGGAGGCGAGCTGGGATGCGCTGAGCAGTTGTCGTATGCGTTTTAATGGATTTAGGAATTAACTTGACTATATGCGAAAACGTTGTAGCGAACATTATGGGAGGATATTGATACAATTACTGATTGATTAGAGACGGTTCGATTGATTGGTCGGTTGCATTTTGTAGTTGTTGGTTTGGTATTTGCTTTTGCTTTTCTCCATGAACTCACCACATGTGGCACTCTCTGTTGCATCAATTGCAATTCCTCGTAGGAATACACTGGTTGCTGATAGTATGGCAATCCAGTCTGAATATATTGACTAACCATTTGGATGTTGGTGGGCACCAAGCCGCTGCCGCTGCCACCACCACTACCAGCACCACCAGCACCCGATGCGCCGCCCACGCCGCCGGTGCTCGCTGCCGCACCTGGTCCGCCGGCGTTGCCCGCTGTCGTGGCAACACTGCCACCGCTGCCGCTGCTATTGCTGCTGCTGTTGTTCTTGTTGGTCAGCGAGGCCAGCACCGCAGCGGTGGTTCCCGTGGCCGTCTGGGCAACGGCCGCTGCTCCTACCGAGCTGGCACTGCTGCTGTTGTTGTTCACATTCACACCGACGCTGGCCGCGCTGCCACCGGCAACGCCGACTCCAGTACTTACGCCGCTCTGGCTAACGCCTCCGCCCACGCCGGCCACGTTGCCGCTCGCAACGCCCGCCGTCACATTGCTGACCGAACTGCTGCCGCTCACGTTGTTATCTGAAAAGATCGGAAAAGTATGGAATTAAAAATCGA